AAAATGTTAGTAAATATCCCAAAAATTACACGCATCAAGTTTTAAGCATTCTAATTTTTATATTACTTTGAAAAAAAAACACTATAATTTCGCATTTTCAGAGGAAAAACAACTGTTCTTTCTGTCTAAAAAGTGAAAACAAAGCAGGACGGCTCAAACCAGAATATAATTATAATAGTCTGTATTTATAATAGTTTGTCTTACCTGGTTCAGAGCTCTTCTATTCCAGAGCCGGGTTATGTCTGACAACTAAGCAAAAGCACATTTGGGCTCATCTCTGCAGCGGCGTGCATGTGTGTGTGTGCGTGTTTGTGTGTGTGTGTGTGTTGCAGCAGCAGATGTCTGTTGACTCCTGATAGCGTGTGTTTCTCCAGCAGGCAGAAATGACACCAGATTCTGAGAAGCTGCTTATACAGGGCGAAAAGCAAAGCAACTGAATGCATCAAATGCGACTGTAGCTTTCTCTCACGTCCCTCATCCTGTACACTGAGCCGGTCTCACAATGCTCCCTCCTCGGCTTTAACTTTTCTCACTCTCTCTCCTTTTCTCCTCCCATTTTTGTTCATTTGAGTCACACACACATTTCTCTCCTCTGTCACACCAGGCAGGAAACACATCAAAGCTGTAAATTCAGAAATCTTCCATATTTTCTTGGCTGCTCTAAACATTTGGCAGTGTGGATGAACTGAAAAACTTGGACCTGTTTCCGTGCAAACTGTACAAGTCCATTAAATATCCTGTGAATGCGCTCGTGGGACCCTTGGCCAAGACCCCCAATGACTCGTCTGAATTAAACCGTACTGCTTGCCACATATTTCCAAACACAGTCTTGTGTTGAAGGAGGAATCATTCCTTTTAATGGGATCGATGGGATCTGCATACTGAATTTAGATTTGGACAGGCAAATATAGGATAGCATCATTTTTGTGAATTCTGTCGTCCGAACTAAAGTTCAAGATCATATTTTTGTAATGCTGGAACACACACATTCAAGTGAATCTGAGTGGTAGGTTGTCTCATTTACATTGGGGCACGTTGTCACACTTTACAACCATTTATAAGTTTGGGGTCTGTAAGATATTTTAATGTTTTTGAAAGACTTCTCTTATGCTCACCAAGGCGCATATATATATATGATCAAAACAGTAATGATAGATATATTGTGAAATATTATTACAATTTTAAGTAACTATTTTCTATTTGAATATATTTTAAAATGTAATTTATTCTTGTGATGCAAAGCTGAATTTTCAGCATCATTACTCCAGTCTTCAGTGTCACATGATCCTTCAGAAATCATTATAATATGATGATTTGCTGCTCAAGAAACATTTCTGATTATTATCAATGTTGAAAACATTTTAATATTAACAGCTTAATATTTTTGTGGGAACCGTTTGAGTTTAAAAGAAAATTATTCATTTGAAATAAAAATAAAGACATTTACTGCTATGATGTTGGAAAAGATTACAAATGTGTCCTTGCTGAGCAAAAGTATTAATTTGTTTAATTAAAAGAAAAAAAAAGTATTATATATGTTGTAATTGTATGCAGTTCTGTTATAATCAACTACTATTTGATTACTATTTCATTTCTGCTGGCCAAAACAATGATTTGTTATGTTTTGTTATGTTACTTTCCTATATTTGCTCTGAAAGCAATATATTATATGTACAGATATTTTGGGGTTTTTTTTTTTTTACAAAAGACATCTTCTTTTGTAAAAAGAAAAAGAAAAAAAAAAGGGTGAAATCATGCCCCGTTATGCATGTCACAAAAGGTGTAAACTCACTGTATATTTTTTTTCTTGGACAGTAATGGTGGAAATGTTCAGTAGCTTTTTAAGTAGTAAAATAAATCTTTCTTGAGTAATTTTCACTGGAGTAAAAAGTCTGATAAATGACTCTGCTCCTCTCTACTTTCTAAAATAATGCCACATCTGCCCCCTGCTGGCTGTACTTTATCACCACACTTGTGTCCGGTTCCAGCTGTTTTAAAGATGTTGGATTTGAGGTTTAGGCTTGAGAACACAAAGAAAGAAATCGAAAAATAAAAATTGTAGTAAAGCAAGATGAAATGCAGGAGTGGTTATGGCTTGAACAGAAGCAATGCACATCTTCAACTCCTGCCAGAGGCACTCTGGGCTCAGAGCCAATGAAGGAGAGGCATGGAGCTTTAGGGATTTGTTACGTGCTCCTAAACAGATGCCCTGATCATTTCCTTCATGTATGCCATCTTACCTGCACATTCTCAACCTCTTCACCACTGTAACACAATATGCATATAAACATGATCCAAACTTCATCTGGCCTCTAAAGTATTTGGACACTTGAATGTCAATGCTTGAAATCAAGTTCCTTTTGTGCCCAAATGCTGCAGGATGTTTCCTCTTCATTCATTTTTCCTCATCATTTTTTTGCTGTCTGTTTGAATCAGCTGGTGTTTTTAGTGGTTTTCAGTAGATGTATAAAGTTAGTTCTCCTAAAGTTCATCTAAGAACTATTTTATATAGTATATTTTATATGATATTTTAGTCTGTGTGCACTAACATAATGCAAAAAAACAAACAAGGTAAATGACTAACAAGGAATAATATACTTTAATAATTAAATTATTATAGATCAATCATAATATTGATAATAATAAGATGTGCATTTTAATGATTAAAATTGAAACATTTTGCTATAGACTTCAAGATTTTAAATGGTCAGACATGCTCAGAGGACATACAGATGGGAAGTTGACTTCCTAATAGTTCTATCGTTCTTTCTTTGCTTCCATCTCTTCCAGTCAGTTTACCATATGTGCAGTGAAGGAACAGATGGTTTGGAAATCAGCTGCTGTGAGGAACCTCAATCAGTGTGAAAGTGAGACGTGTGCAGGTGAACACACACGAGGGGAACATCCCTTCACTACAGCGCTGCTTGAACACCTTACACCTTAAAAACAGACTCAACAGAGGTATATAACATTTGTTTGCCCTTAATATTATGGTTATGTGCAAAATGGGCATTTGTGTCAATGAAAGTGAGTGGTTCCATAGGAGGTGTGATGTCATATATGTATAAAACACAGGGCTGGTCTGATGTGAGCCACGAGCCATCACTTCTGTGGCCTTGAGCAGATTTGTCCTTGACTATAATGCATGCTGTGAAATGCATTATATATACAACTTCTAATACAACTTCTGACATAATATGCATAAACATTTCAAACCATATGGCATTGTTTTTATCAATGAGTGGCATACCATTATCATCTTGGTTATGCATTTTGTAATATATTTTTTAAATTTATCAGTCTATAATATAATGAGTCAAGAAAGAGACTGAACGGTCATGATTGTAGGATAACAGTATTCCACAGTGTGCTCTGTTGCATTCTTGCAATTACTCATTTAGTGCACTTCAATATATGTTGACAAAAATAACTTGCATCCTATACTTGCTTTGTAGTTTATTACAATATTAGTGTAGTGGTGTAAGATATGCTAGACATTCTAAGAGAAAGCATCTTCCAAGCATAAAAATGTAAATTGCATGTAAAAAAAAAATATATATATATATATATAAAAAAAATTATCATTTATAAATGAACAATCAGTGAGAGCTGAGGGTCTCTTTACAGTGTGATCCTCTGAGTTCTAGAGTCATTTCAGCAGAGTTTATGAACAATGCTCTTGGTGGAGTTTTATAAATAAGGTTGATTGGGACAGGGGTGCACATGTAACTGCCCCGCAAGAACACGATTACAAGCCAAAACTACTGCCAGAAACCTTTAGCAGAAGATGCCAAATTCAGCTTTTCTGTCATTTCCTGGGAAGTTTTGCAAGGTTACAAACAAGTACCATATACATTCAAACATGCAGATACATATATGAAATAGTTTTATCTTGAATAACGTTATAGTGTGACAGCACTCAGTTTGTGCCTGCAGGTTGAATACTCACAAATGGCACAGAATAAACTAGTCTAGACACTAATTAGCAAGAAAGGATGTGAGACTGATAAACTACATTTTTTATTGCATGCAAAAAGTGCAAACAACTATACAGATTTTTTTTATGTTTTTGGAAGAAGTCTCTTATGCTCACCAAGGCTGCATTTATTTGATCAAAAATACATTAAACAGTAATATTGTGAAATATTATAACGATTTAAAATGATCTGTTCCACTTGAATATTTTTTTTCCCATGTAATTTAATCCTGTGATGACAAAGCTGAATTTTCAGCATCATTACTTCAGTCTTCAGTGTCACATGATCCTTCAGAAATCATTCTAATATGCTGATTTGAAGAATTAAGTTCAAAAGAACAGCAGTTATTTGAAATATATATTTTGTAACATTACTGCAATTTTCATCAATGTGTGGTGCATCCTTGCTGAATAAAAGTAGTAATATATTTCACAACAAACTTACTGACCCCAAACTTTTGAACAGTTGTATATGATGGCATTTTTGTTATTCCTTACAAAAAAAGTACTGTGGTGGTACCAGCACTAATGTCAAGAAGTGCCAGGATATTACCAGGGTTTTTATACATGACATGCACCATGGTATATTTCAAAGTACCATACTATTACCATCTGATACCATAGTCTTACCATGCAATTTACTGTACATGCATGCTACTCAAAGAAAACGCAGTAGATGTCCAGAAGACCATGGCACCATGTCCAAACAATGGTACCATGATATTACCATGGTACTTTTTGGTTAGTGCAAGACAAGTAACTTACGCCTGAATTACAGCAATGGCATGCACTAGACTGTTTGATGCACAACGTGAATTTCTGTCTATGTCAAACACAGCTTCGGAATACTCAAAAGAGCTTCAGGAAACCGAACACATCACTAGGACATATGCAGCTTCACCCACACGTTTCATTATAACCCCTGCTATTCTCACATCCGGGATATGAAACATGAGCAAAGACGTGGAATGTTACATTTTTTTCCCCTCTCTCTCTCTCTCTCTCTCTCTTTCTCATGCGCCGTAATGATGGAGTAAAAAGCAGCATGATTGGTGGATGCAGGCGAGAAGAAAAATAAAACCCAGAACGTTGCTTTTGCACTCCGGACGCGACGCGACAAACGCGAATGAATCCAGCGCGTGCTTTCGATCACAGGTGAAGAACTGAAATAGAAAAACCTCTTGAATCACAGCAAAAACATCCACATCCACACAAGGAGCTAAAAGTACACAATGGTCGCTCGCGATATGTGTCTCTCAGACAAGCTTAGCGCTGCGTCGCTTGAGTGACAGCTCGCTGGCCAATAGGAACATCCAGCGGCCCAACTTCGCTTAGAACCGACCAATGGCGAACGGCAGAATACGGGCCTAAACGCAAGTTAGGCTGTTGTAGCAGGCGGCCAGCGCTAAACTTCACCAAATAATAGCTGTTTGTATTTTGGCTGCCGCAGTAGCCATTTTAGGTAAGCACATTTTAAACTTTTTTTAATTTTAACGCGTCGCGCGCAAAACTGCACGGGGTAGGTGGAGCGCGGACGCGTCAAACTCTCGCATCCCCTCATGAATGAACTGCTCTTGTGCGTTAGGATTAAAGAAATTGCTCTGAGTTTTTTTCCCTTCCCCGACTCCCACCCCCTCTAATTTTTTATGCATTTTTCTAAACTGTCATGGCGTTTAGTGTCCTTGGAAATAAATGCGGAGAGAGGAACGCGTAGGTTTTTGCGCTAGCTGATGTCCGGAGCCGGCGTGTCCAGGTAGGTGAGGTCGCGTTTGACGGTCCCTCCGCGGAGTTTGAGTGGCTCTTCACGCGTGTAACGCCTGAAATATAGAGCACCGTTGCCGTGACATTACAGTTAGCAAGCTGGCTAGCGCCCTACAGGGGCTAATGTATATGGGACACGATGTTAGTGTTTTTATAAGAGTGTTTTATGAGGCAAGTTTGGCATCTGTTGAGGCACAAAGCATCCCATGACTGTTATCAAGTACTAGGAACAATGTAACTTCTAGCACTCATGTGGTTTACTTCAACCCCTGGTTTTTGCTGCATCCCTATTGGAATTAACGTGTTATTTATAGATTTTTTTTTGCCACTAAATAATGTTGTATTACTTTAACAACTTTATGCTTTTCCTTTTTTTATACATTGAAACTGCTTTAGACCTTCATTGACACCTGTCTTAACTCCAGGAATGGGTTAGTTAGTATCAAAGGGCCCACCTGGCTTATAATGTAACACTTTTGAAATTAATTGGTTTTATATCACCAATGATGTTGCGTTAGTTTCAACACTTATTCTTTTCTTTTTATACAATTATAATTCATGACAGGTAGATTGAAACCGATCATACCTCAATCTGTATCTTAGTTTGTGTTTGGGGTAATTATGTGATTATTATAGATTTATGTCACTAATAATGTTGCAGCACTGTAACGTCTTTATATATTTATTTTTAATTCAATATCAATGCACCACAGGTAGATTGATTTATCTTAACTGAAGGAATGGTTTAGTCAGTATCACTAAGGCCCATCTGGTTTTATAGTGTATTAGAGATGTAGGAGATGTTCATATGGATTTGTCACTGATAATGTTGCTTTAGTTAAACACTTTTTCTTTTTAATATACTTACAGTGCATCACAGGTAGATTGACAGCTGTCTTAACTCAAGCAATGGGTTAGTTAGTTTCAGGGGTCTCACCTGGTTTATGATGTAATTAATTGATTATTATGGAATTAAGGCGTTAATAATGTTGCATTTCTGTGACAAAATGTTTTTATTTTAAATTCAATGACAATGCAGATGCAGTACATGTAGATTGACACCCATCTTAACTCAAGTAATAGGTTAGTTAGTATCAAGAGGCCCACCTGGTTTATATTGAACCCTTTTGAAATTAATGTGTTCATATGGATTTATCACTAATGATGTTGCATTAGTGTCAAAACTTTATGCTTTTCTTTCGTATGCAATTAAAATGCATGAAAGGTAGACTGACACCTGTCTTACCACAAGCAATAAGTTAATTATTGTCAAGGGTCCCACCTGGGTCATGGTGAATATTTTGTGATAATTTGGATTTATGCCACTAACAATGTTTTAATGTCGAAACTTACATTTCTTTTGAATATAATTACAGTGCATCACACAAGTAGACTTACCTCAAGCAATGGGTTAGTTAGTATCAGGGGTCCCGGCTGGTTTATGATATAATTCTGTGATTAAAATGGATTTTATGTCGCTAAGAATAATGTTGCTTGCAATTACTGTAAAAACATACTGTTTTTATTTATTTATTCAATGACAGTGCAGGGCCTTTTAGTGAATGTTTGGAACTTTTTCAAATTATTTTAATTAAGAGATTTAAGTTAATTGAATAGGCTGCATAAGTGGAAAGACGTTTGTTGTTATAAGTATAACCTGCTATTAATGCAAGTCATAACACTTTTGTGGTTATAAAGTGATGCCTTGGTCCCAGGTGGTGATAGTGATAGATTAAAGTTGACTCATTACTTAGTCGTACCCCAATACAATAAACCTTGAACAATAGCTAGTGTTGAATAAGAATAAATTTGTTTATATTATACATGAGTTTTATATAAAATTATTAATGTCTACTGCAGTCTTCTTCATAATATGCACTTTTCCCACTTTATTTATTTGTCACAAGAATTCAATGACTAAGATTATAACTGCCTTTACATTTGTTTAGTGTGCATTCTGAATTTGAATCACATTCTATGCTTTTTTAAAATTACTTTAGCAGTTGTTTGTTATGCTTTGTTTTAATTTCTATATTCATGAATCCTTATATCTCTGTATTCCAGACGCAGACACAAAGATCAAGAAAAAATGAAAATACAAAAGAAGGACAAGCAGGTCAGTGTATCACATGTGTTCCTGTCAGACACTCTGTGAGAGTTCCCTCAATCTGTCTCTCACACCATCTCTCACACTTTCATCGTCATTAGCATAATTTTTAGTCCTTGCACTATAGCTATACTTCAAAAAGATCCTCAGTTTTGTTTAGCCTACTTTTTGACTTTAATATTTGACCTCATCGCACAGCATCTCAAATGTTGGTTTGATCACTCTGAAATGCCTGACCCAAAGTCTGTTGCTTGAGTTTTTTCCCTCACTTAGCTTCTTAGGGAGGTAAACTTACCCTAATGATAACTTTCTCGAGGGCAACACACTTGAGGCTATAGGTTTACGATTAGGATTTAAGTTGCATACGAAAATGAGAAGAAAGCTTGTGACATTTTTTTTTTGATAACATTGTTTCCTCCCTGAAGATAATTGAGGTTGTTTTTTCACAGTCAAGGAGATTTTGGAGTTCTCAGTTATGTTGCTCAGTTATAAGTAAAAATAATCAAAGGAGAAAAATGTTGACACACAGTATGTGTATAGAGCATAGCTCTGATTATCTACTCATGGAGGAATTTGATGAGAAATTGTTGAATTCATAATGACGTCCCTGGATTTAGATTGGAGGCAAATCTGAGCAGAGTTTATGTTGAGTTTTCTTCAGAATCTTCTGAAAATATTTTTCTTCATTTGCTCTCCATTTAATCTCAACAACAGCTATGTTTCCTTTCAGATTTAATGCTCATTCTGGGATATTGCATAAAAAACACTGGATAGAAACACCGATGCGCTCAATTGAGGTGTATACATTTTTATCTGATAAGAAGACGTGCATAAACTGATGGGAACACATTTACCGAAAAAATCCCTCGATGCGCTACAAAAAGCTCATGTGACTGCCTCAACGGTGAATGTGATTGGATAACTGGACTAACCTCATCGCACAGCATCTCAAATATTTGGTTTGATCATTCTGAAATGCCTGACCCAAAGTCTGTCATCAAAATGTTTGGTATAATGACCTCCCAGAACTGTCTCACACGATTGCATACACAAACATCAGGCATCCGAATGCAAGATAACATGACGGCGTTTATTGCGTTTCATCTGTGCGCTCTGAGACGCAAGTCATTTATGATGTAGGAAAAAGAGCCATTGGCTTCACCGATTGCAGCAACTTCCAATTTTATTACAGATATCCAATTTCCCATGAAGTGAATATTTTGTTCTCTTGAACACATGGGATGGAAATGCTGCTTTATGTTTTATGTTAAATTCTGAACTTTGGATGGAAACATAGCTGTTACTACCCATGAGAAACAAGAAACTCATAAGTTCTCTTTTGTGTTGTTTTTTTTCTTTCTTGTGGACTTTTAAAACACTTTTAATCCTTTTTCACAATTAGACTAGTGGCCAGTTGCATAGCCACTATGTTAAGACTGTGTCTTATGAACTTGTTTGACCAACACGCATTTTGTTAATAGGTAATCAGTCTTAGTTCTAATTCAAATTAGACCGATCTACCTTTTTATGTAACTGACTTAAAAAATGTAGGACTTGTCTTGAAAAAAAATAAAATAATGACTACGTTTTAAGACTAGTTAAGACAATGTCCTTGACTGTGCCCTTTTGATTGATGTTTTACTCTTTAATTCAATGTAGTTGTTTTCCAGAATTAGAATTGGAGATGTGTAAATAATAATTTTGATTACTTTTGACTGATAAATTCAAACAAAATGCCTTGCATTGCAATGATTGAGGTGATGAAGGTGTGTTCTTAAATAAACAATTCTGTCGGCTAGGGGTGTAACGGTACACAAAAATCACGGTTCGGTACGTACCTCGGTTTTAAAGTCACGGTTCGGTACGTTTTCGATACAGCAAAAAGTAAGAAATGCCAGAGAAATTTCCTATTTGTTAAAAGAAAAAATATTTTTTAAATAAGTGTGAGTTTTCCTTCATCTTGAAACTTTCAGGTTTATAAATGGGGGTCATCTTTGAAGGATGAACAAATAATGTTTTGGTCATCACATTAAAAATAACATTTAAATATATGAAGAGTTTAGATGCAAAAGCCATTTGAAATTTTCTTCTAGAATGATCATTTTTATCAAGCTTGTATATTTAAGTTCAGTAATTTCACTTAAATGGCAATGAAGATTACCTATTAATTGTCATTTGAGTGAAATTACTGAACTTAAATATACAAGCTTCATAAAAATGATCATTCTAAAAGAAAATTTCAAATGGCACTTATAGAGGCTTTTGCATCTGAACTCTTCATATAGGCTATTTATTTATATAATATTTGAGTTTTGAAGTGCTGGAAAAAGATGTGTGAAGTACTTGAAAGCATTTCACTATTCCAGCCAAACTGGTTACAGTTAGTGTTACTATATTAAATCCATGGTGAATGTTGCTGGTCTGTGGACGTAAAGTATTACTAGTTCATTCACGGCACAATATTTCTCCTGGTGTCCACGTCAGCGCTGTTTGATCTAATAGAGATCTGCGGTTAATAACGGAGAAATGTGAATGCTTCTCACTAGATCTCGCAGCGATGTTATTACTTCAGTGGCGAATTCAAATGTTTTCTTTACTGGATCTCTTAGCGCTGTGTTGTAACAGTGTCGCTTGATCGAGATCGGCTCGCGCTGCACTGCACAGATGTTGCTGCTCCTAACTGATAAACGATCCGTGAAGCACACATAATGAGTAGCGCAGTTTCGTTCCGCTTTCATTACGTTTGCCATTTGATGTTGCGCAACGTTGTGGTGGTCGCGCCAGCGCGAATTTTGTCGGCAGGAAAAATGGTCCAAGGAATCGTTCGGTTTGTATGCGTACCGAACCGGAAGCCTCGAACCGAAACGGTTCAATACGAATACATGTACCGTTACACCCCTACTGTCGGCTGTTTAAGCATTAAAGCAGCTTGCCGTGGTAGATAGAAAGTGCAGATGTGTTCATATTTGCATTTTATATGGCTTTGAATGTGGCTCATTCGGTATCAGATTTTGTCATAACTATACATTTTATAATCTCAAGTACATGGTCACAATTACTGGTGACAGATCATTTCTTCATAGCGTAAGCTTATAAAAACCTGTGGCGCATCAAATGTTTGGAAAATTTCATTGAAAACATTGGTGGTAGATTTTCCTTAAGAAGAATCAAAGAGTTTTTATAATGACAGTTAACAAGTTACCAGGCAGGAGAATGTCTGTTTGACATAACTGACCACAGCACTGCTCTTACTTCTGCTCTCAGTGATGCTTGAGTCAAATGCTTTCTAGAAGAGCAGGTTCTGTATGTGCAAGATTTTGAATTTAATATCTGTTGGCATACGCTGCGCCTACATGGTATGACTTAAACCCAGCGTAAATGTTGCGTATAAAGTTGCAAGAAGTTGACTTGAAATATAAATTAGAAATTTTGGCAAAACAGTCACATTTGCATTTAGTTGACATTACTATACATGTCTAATTAATGTGCACCATCTGTGCCTGTTATATTGCAGCGTTAGCATATAACTCTCCTATTAAGTATTGGCTCTGTATACACTTGACTCTCGTTTTTGGTGATCCAATCGCAAGTGGTCAGTGGACCTGGTATTAGGTGTCTACACCTATCTCTTTTGTCTACTACACTTACTACTTCAGTGTTGTACTGCATACTAATATCAAGCATACAGAGAATTTATTTGCACAATTTTTTAAAACATTTTTAAATTTAATAAAAATAAGAATAACATATTTTATGTTACTTTCGTGTATGCAATGAAATTCATGGAATTGATTTATACAGTAAAGTGATAAACAGAGCTAAGAACGATTACGGTCTTAGAAAGTGCAAGGAATATGTGTGTGATGTGAGTCTGAAGTCTGTGGAAATCCCCTATGTCTGATAAGTACTTCAGTTAGTTGACCTCAATTCATCTGATACTTTCAGATGAGGACGTTGAGATGATGATGATAATGTTTAACTTTGTTTGTTTAAAGTTTTGCTTCGTTAATGTTTGATTAGGAATCAATGATATTCTCTAGCAATTTCCTATGAAATCCAACTTAAGTACTTATAAAGATGGTGTTAGGTGTAGAAAGATTCACTTTGCCGTTTTCATGATTTGCCTTTCAAGTTGTTGTACTGTCTTCCAGTTGATCTGTCTTCCAGCTTGTTTTGATTTTCAGGCTAGCAACACCCAGCTAATCATGCTAATTGTTAAGGAATCATTGGCTGCGCTTCGAAAGATCATTGGAAACCGAAGTCAAAGTTGAACGTTGCCGTAATATGCTTGGCGTTTTATGCATTGGAGCATGAAATCAGTATTTAAATATATCTTAATATGTATTTATCTCTGTGGTAAATTTTGTTTAGTCAAGATTTAAGGGGGTAGAAAATAGTTTGCTTGATGAAAATTTACTTGTGCACTAAAATAATCCACAATACAGTACTTTAAACATTTTGAATCATGCATGGATCAGGCATGTCTGTGTATTCCAGTGTGCCTGTCTGTTTCCACAGACCATAGTACCATAGACCATAGTAATTAGTACAAAGAATCAGTTGTGACATTTATGAGTTGTGAATAAATCCTAGCCAGTGTTGTGATCATGTATCAGTTAGGCAGAACATAAATCAATGTCAGCATCACTCAAAATACCTCTGTCTCTCGTGCTCCCCCTTGATAACTATTTCTGCGTCAGTAAATACATATCATTGTTATACTTTGTAGTATGTCGTTCCTGGTTTCAAGAAATGTACAGCGTTTTGCACCTTTTATGTGGAAAACCACCGAGGACACTTCTGTGGATCTGTCGGATTGTCAGCCGGATCTGGGAGGCTTTTGGTCTACTGTCAGACGCAGAGGATCTAGACTCAGCGCTGGGATCTCTTGAAGTGAAGAATGGTTGTGTGTAGTCAGTATAGCAACCTCTGACACTTTGTCAGTTGTATGTAGTGTTCAACGGGATTCATGTGTTCTTTAATTTGAAACTCTGACCACCTGAATTTCACTGCATTTACGATAGAAGCACGTCGGGGACACCAGCAGATTAAAAAGAATAAGAGATTTAAAAGGTAAAAGAAATATTTTCAAACTGAGAGACTTATCAATAAGGTTCATGATGACTCGGAGTGCCTTTACATGCACATTCATTCTTAACCTGATTATGCTTAATAAGCCGACAATGCACGTGATCCTGTAAACGCGTTAACCCGTTTTCCTTTATCGAAGTAAGGCCATAAACTGCTTAAGCATAAACTGATCAGTCACATCTAGATTTTTGCCCCTTACGCCGCTGATTTCGCCCAGCATGTATTAACCTGCTTTCTGTTGGCTTATTAAAGTGCTCATATGTGATATGTGACATGAACATGTCCTCACTGTGGATTTAAGCACATCCAGACAGAGCGAGCATTTTGCAGTAATAAGAAGAAATATATTGGAAACTCATTCTTTCTTGATCACACCCTTTTCTTGAAATCTCGTGCAGCAGAAGTGGTATAATCAAAATGCTTCATCTGTAACTGCATGAGAGGATACTATATGAGCTGTAAGTTTCCCGCTGACATGTTGCAATACTCTTCTTCGGTTTTTAATGCTTTATTTAACATCACAACTCACAAAAGAAATGAAATACTCTTGAGTCAGATACACAAATTATTGCGTTTTGACATTACTACCAGGAAATAACATGATTTATTAATAAAGTCTTGTAAAAGCGGTTTACTTGCGTTGTCGGGTTATTGGTTTGCATGTAAACCACACAACAGGTTATTTCAATAAGCTGATTTTTGTGAGTTATCAGTGTACAGGTGTGCATGTAAACGTGCTCACTGTCATATAAATGATCTGATCTACATTTTGATTTGAATTTTGGTGGTGTCAAATCAAAGTAGCCCAATTTAGTTGTATTATTTCCTCACTGCGAGATGAGTGATTTCAAAAGGCACTTCCGACCCTGAGAGCTTCATTATCAGGCCTTCCTGAAGAACCGGCAGGGATTCTCAGTGATTTGGTTATTTGATTTTGACCAATTTTAAATCACTACAGGTTAAAAGTCAAAGAAGGCCTTATATTACTACAAATACAAAGTTTGCCTATATATGAATTTATTTGCAAAAGTAAGAAACTATTTTATACATATACATTACCAATCAAAGTTTGTGGTCAGTAGGATAGTTTTTAGATGATATTTTTCTTTTTTTAATTTGATTGCAAAGGTCCAATAAATTGATAATGTTTCCTTGAGACCCATGCCTTCTCTTCTTCTCTGACTGTTTTTAACACAAGAACATATGAATCCATAAGCAAAACAAGATGGACTTTATTTAGGGAGGTTTATAGATGTATAGAGCAGTTAAAGGACAAAAACAATGATTTCTTTCATGATTTTGCATTTTATTATTGCAGTTAGCTTGACTGCTATCGTGCATTTGGTGGAGAGGAGAGGTTAAAGCATGTTAGTAGGAGCGATGTGTGTGTGTGCATGTTTTATAAAGCACATTTGAGCAAGGTGTGTTCAGGTTTGGATCTGGCATTGACTGAACTGCAGCTGTCGCGTTTGGGAGTTGGGAGTTGGTATTGATTCATAGGGAATTTGATTGCAACGTGTGTATGTGTGTGCGCTTGCGGTTGGCAGATTTGCCTGGCAAGCATGCATACTGCAGCACGTCACGGGAATAGTCTGCAGTGTTTGCTTCCGTGCATTAGCTTTGCGTGCATATGTGTGTGATGCATAGAGAGAGCATTAAAAAAAAGTGAAAAGAGCAGTTCAGTTGCAAGTTGCCGTTTACACTTTGTGTTGTCTGTACAGTGCAGTTAAGTACAAAAAGTTGTGTTTTTTCACCCATGTAGATATTGGCAATATTACCTTCAGGAACAATGAGGTCGATGCTTTTTAGACCCCGGAAAGGAAAGGGTTACCACGGAGACTGCGTGTTTACGTTCCTGCTTCCCACAGCTTGGTCCCGAGCCTGTTGCCATGACGACGGCCCTGATTCCAGCCCGCTTGCTTTGGAAAGCATGTGATTCATTGACATTATCCCCATACCTGCCTGCAGTCGCATGCCCTGTCGGGGAGTGCGTATGTGCGTGTGTGTGTGTGTGCCTGCACATGCGCGCTGTTCCACGTGTGCACTGCAACACTAAGGCGTAGTTAAAAATAAACGTGCTTCGCGCAATAAGAGGTACAGGGCTAAATGTGTACCAGAAACACAAAGCTCACAGATGGCAGTGAATTCTGTTTAATTCATAAATGTTTTTTCCTGTAGAAGTAGAAGAACAGTTTTAATTTAATCTGCCCTGTAATGTGTAATTGGGCATCTCATGACTGCACTACGTTTTACGATAGAGCACATATGTAAATAGGAGTGAATATATAAAATAACCTGTAATACATGCACTACCCTGCTGATAAAAACAGCTTAGAGTGTTTGAAAACTTGAGTGCTCTTTAAAAGAGCTGTGAGTGGATTAAAAAGTGAACCAAGTGAAAACAACCCCCAGTTCATTTTGCATGCACACTGTCCGTGGACCCTGATCACTTTTTTAGTTTGTTTTAGTTCAGTATATATAATGTATAATAAACCAGCATGAAATTGCCCAAAACATATGTTCTATTTATAACTAGCAGATGGTTTGACTGGACAGGACAGTCTTTGATGTGTCTGTTTCAAACAACACAAATAGTGTTTAATTAGAGGAGCGAATTCTAATCTGTTTTCTGTTTTTCCAGATGTCTGCCACCCATGTACTAAAGCACACTCCATCCGCTGCTGCCTCGAATGCCTCTGACCAAAACGCACAAACTACATTTCCCATCGGCCACTTGGGCAAAGAACAGTTACGGATTATCGGAGGGCCGCCCAATCATTGCATGACTCACACAAAGGCTGGGTCTGCGGCCAGCAGTCACAGTCTCCGCCCTTCATCAATCAACAGTGAGGAGGATGATGGAGGGGGCGGGACCAGGGTGAAGAAGAAACGAAGGAAAAAAGACAAGACTGAGTCGGAGTGGAACAAAGATGGAGAAAGCAACGCTAAACCAAAGAGAAGGGTGCAAAAGGAAGGGAAGGAGATTCTTCCGAGAAAGTCAAAGGCGGTGAAGGAACAAAAGGATCATAAGAGGGAGGCGAAAGGTCAAAAGGAGGTCAAAAAGGTCAAGAAAGGTCAAGATGTGAAAGTGAAACCACAGCCCAAGAACACTGCAACACATCCGCCCTCCAAAAGAGGGAGGAAGCCAAAGTGAGTTGGTTAAAAGATAACAGAATTGTCATTTTTGGGTAAATATACATAAACAACCATTCACAAGTATTCATTTTTTTATTGAATATAGTTGAAAAGAACAGCATTTATTTTATTTATTAGAAAGCTTTTTTAACGTTATAATATAATTATCTTTACTGATTAATTTCTTTCTTAAAAAATAATTCTTACTGACCCCAAACTTGTGAATGGTATTGTACATGACATGAAATAGAGATGTTTTCAATGCCACAAACAGTAATATTCAGTCAGTATTATTTGTCTAACACTGGAGTTCTATATGTGCTTTATAACAAGACCATAATGGCAGGTATATTATATTCAACACACGACTTGGTGCCTAGTTTACTAAGAGACGTCTTAATTGAAGGCAGCAAACTAGTTTTATGTCAGTAAATAATTTTTAGTCGCTGATTAACAAATGTCAACTGACAAAACGGTCTCATTTCTGTAAATTGCATCTTTTATATGTGAGACAGTTTTGTACTTGACAGTTTTGCATGTACCGTCTCAGCGCTGTTCTTGCTACGCTCAATCATAGACCTTTTCATATCTTGATTAGGTAAAATGTGATACAGGGATTGTGGGCGTTACAAGGTGAATGTGGGTGCTTATGGATTTCCAATTTGAAATCAAGGTCAAAATATGAAAGCTGCAACCATGTGAAGGGCTATTTGAACTTTTGGTTATTTTATAGTGTATTTGGAGAAATAAAGGTGGAGTTTTATGCATGCATTCGTAAGGTATTCAAATATGTAATAAACAATATCTCAATTAGGGCTCTTAAAAATGACCCTCCGGACTCATGAACTTGTAAAGTTTATGCCAATCGTCTTTTATGGGATACATTCCCTTTTTTAACTTCCTTATCCACTTTGTGGTTCCCTTTCAACACTCTCCAACAGTAAAGCAATGACATGATGCGATTATGAGTGCTGTGCTCCAGGAAAACTCTTGTGCTGCTTGTGTAAGTTGTCCACTTATAACCCAGGAAGCGTCTGCACAGCACATGTTGGTGTTTTGTACCATAATATGGCCGGATATTTGTCAGTCAAAGAAGCCCTTGGTGGTTTGCTATACGATTTGTCAACCTGTGCGAAACTGTGCCAGTAAGATGGATTTTAAGACTATGTGTTGCTGTTATGCAGAGAGCAGGGTGCCATGCCTCCGGAGAAGAAGAAGAAGGGAAAGAGGAAAAGTGATGCTGTACTTGAGATGGTGGAGAGTGATGACACAGCCTCTCTCAGCACGCTCGCCACCGGCGGTGAGGAAAGCACCGACCCTATGGATAACACTGTGAGTTCTCCTGAACCGATCTTCATCAGGCCTCCGGGTTTCACATTTCATCATTCCATCATGTTTAAAAGAAATAAAAACTACAAAAGAAAGAAAACATGGTTAGAGTAACCATTTAAAGGGGTGATGAACTGAGAAATCAAATTTTCCTTGAGCTTTTGACATCTAAGAGGTCATCAAATTATAAGAATATCCTGTAAGTTTCAGAACTGAAAACGTCCTTGTTAGTCCAATAAAAGCTTTTATTGACACCAGGCTCAGCAAACGACTCGTTTTTCAAAGTGGGGAACTATGACGACAAAGAGGATAAAACACCACCCCCGCAGAAGAAGATCAACGCCTACTTCAACACGGCCGATTTAGCCCCGCCCACCGATTCGCGCATTACACGAAACTCATTATAATATGCAAAACTGTTATCCACTCACAGCAGTGGGCGTTTACTTCCAAGTCTTCAATGCGAGACGCCCATAAAAACCGAGCGTTTTTGAGCTAGGCTCAAAACTAGGGTAGAAAATAGCCTATTACTTATTCATTTTGATGTTTTTGAATGTAAAAACCAAGCGAACGTCATACGTTGACCTCAGACAACAATATAAAACAATTTAAAAAGCCAGTTCATGACCCCTTTAAATGCACATTTTTGAACCATTTAAATAAGAGCAATTTTAAATTGGAAGTCAGGTGGGATAAATGTTAAAGTACACAGTATTTTAAAGAGTGTTTCCAGAAAATGTGAACATTTAATGTGTTATGAATGATCTAGTGTGATTTGAAATAACTTGCCGATCAGATAACGATTTTGTACACAAACTAAACAATCAAATTATTCTTTCCTCTTTTTCTTTTATTCTCTGTGCAGAAGAGGCGATCAGGGCGTCAAGTGAAGCGGCGGAAGTACAACGAAGATCTTGATTTCAAGGTCGTGGATGATGACGGGGAGACCATTGCCGTGTTGGGCGCGGGCCGAATTGCTGCCATGTCTTCCTCTACCCTCGCCTGGCAGGCTGAGGTAACTGTGGCAACATCTGCCATTATGCCACACCACACACCTGCCCTACTTCTGGAGGAGCAGAGCAAACACACACTAAAATAATCACTCCCACCTTCTTTCTTCCCAGGAACCCCCTGAAGATGAGGCTAATATTATTGAGAAAATACTCTCTGTGCGAACGGTCAAGAAAGAGGTAAAGTGATCAGATTACATGTTACATTAACATTTCTTATTTGGCCATGAAGTTTACTATAAAGTGTGTATTAAATATGTTGTTCAATGAGTGATTCTTAAACCTTTATATTTTTTCCACCACCACCTTGAACATTTGATTAAATCCTTTATTTACACCACTGTGCTAAAAGAACAAAGTACTGAATACACCTAAATGCATTACTGCAGCATATACTATTCATTACACTGGGGTGCAAATAACATCTGCCTAAAAAGAATATTCTCAGTGTTTGATCTATGGTTTTCATTTAGACATCCCCTGATGAAGCACCAGAAGAGTTGGAGGAGTTTTACGTCAAGTACAGAAATTTGTAAGTGTACTCATGCGCATCAAACTGCTGTTACCTTCTTGTGCTGTTACCAAACTCTTGAACACTAAGCTTGTCAAACTGTCAGAGCAAACGCATAACTCACCTTTATTGTGTAATTCATTACTTCAAATCATTTATGCATTAAATTATCCATCTGGTAGAGTGGTGATACACTCTGCCTCATGAAATTATTTGCTGAATCAACAATGGGGTGGATCTTTTTCTGGTGTAGTTTTGGAAATTATAGTACTAATTATTGGGTCAAGTTTAACCTCAAAAACTTTTCTTTTCTTTTTCTTTTCTTTTTTTTTTTGCTTAAAGACATCATGAGAAAGATGGCTATTAGGATTCTCATAAGCACATTTCCCCAAAAAATCTTATAGCAATGAGAGGATATTTACATTTTATATTTTATTGTTAAATTTACTGTAATCTATCAATAATTTACAATTTATATAATATATCGTTTTTATTTTTGCATTACAGTATTGATATAAAACAGTGGTTATGTGTTTAATTTTCATGTCAGTAATACCTCAATATTAGTCTGGTTAAAACCAGACCATTCTCAGTTGTAACTGAGTTATGGTCTGGCAAAGCGTCATAGACAAATCATTTCCAGAGGGGCGTCACCAACGGATGTCGCGGATAGACCTAAACCCAATCAGAGCGATGAAGGAGATGACGTATGCAGAGCGGCGGAGAAACATCTCCGAGTTTTGTTCTTTGCTCGGTTTTTAAAGGGATACTCCACTTTTTTTGGAAATAGGCTCAATTTACAACTCCCCCAGAGTTAAACTGTTGAGTTTTACCGTTTTTGAATCCATTCAGCCGATCTCCGGTTCTGGCGGTACCACTTTTAGCATAGCTTAGCATACATCATTGAAGTGGACAAGACCATTAGCATTTCTCATTAAAAAATGACCAAAGTGTTTCGATATTTTTCCTATTTAATACTTGACTCTTCTGTAGTTGCATCGTGCACTAAGACCGACGGAAAATGTAAAGTTGCGATTTTCTAGGCTGATATGGCTAGGAACTATACTCTCATTCCTGCGTAATAATCAAGAAACTTCATTGCCGTACCATGAGAGCAGCAGGCGTAATGATATGACGCAGCGCCTGAAAATAGTTCCGTTGTGTTGACGGAAGGTGGCCTATTTTCAGGCGCTGCGTCATATCATTACGCCTGCTGCTCTCATGGTACGGCAATGAAGTTTCTTGATTATTACGCAGGAATGAGAGTATAGTTCCTAGCCATATCAGCCTAGAAAATCGCAACTTTACATTTTCCGTCGGTCTTAGTGCACGATGTAACTACAGAAGAGTCAAGTTTTAAATAGGAAAAATATCGAAACACTTTGGTCATTTTTTAATGAGAAATGCTAATGGTCTTGTCCACTTCAATGATGTATGCTAAGCTATGCTAAAAGTGGTACCGTCAGAACCGGAGATCGACTGAATGGATTCAAAAACGGTAAAACTCAACAGTTTAACTCTGGGGGAGTTGTAAATTGAGCCTTTTTCCAAAAAAAGTGGAGTATCCCTTTAACAAAAAGGAAACGTTCAAATCGCTTAAAACAGACGGGATAGCTGATTCGAACGAGTGATGTTCGACAGCGGCATCCATCTTTGTAATGTAGGCTACAAAATCTGCTTCAAAATCCCAGCGCTGTCGTCATCGTGTAAAGCCCGCCCCAACGTTTCTGATTGGTGCCTCGATTTCGGCGGATTGGAAATGGGCTTGAATGAGCTCTTTGCCAGACAGAGCAAATCTAAATTTGCCGGAAGTTGTCTGGGTTTTCCCAGGCTACCTCAATATAGAAATGTTGTTAATATATACAAACATTGTTGTTAATGATCGTAAAAAAGCTTCATTTTATTTTTGCAGAATATAATTTCTTATTTCTTTCTTTTGATTTTGAGTGTAAATGTGACGTAGACATGTTCTTGACAAGTTTCGTGTAATTCGTATGGTATACTTTATTGTCCCAATGGGAAATTTGTTTTGGGTTTACAAATTCTAATACACACAAATATGGATGGAGAAACGCTACAAGGACATATTGTGAACACAATGCTATTTTAAATGAAATGCATGCATGATAAATGCATTCAGTGTTGTTTACAGCACATTGTCAGCAATGAAAGCTTTTTCTCATTGCCAGCTCCTATCTGCACTGTAAATGGGCGACCTTGGAGGAACTGGAAAAGGACCCACGCATTCAACAAAAACTCAAGCGCTTCAGAAACAAGCAGGCACAAATGAAGCACATTTTCACAGAGGTGTGTCTGCCAAAACATGCTGCTGTTTGTTTGTTTGTTGCTCATTTAAAGTTAAAACCTGGAAGGTCATCAAATATAATTATGATGTAAAAGCTGAAATCCATACGGAAAATGTTGTGCAAGTACTTCACCTTTAAATCCGTGGCTTTGTTATAGACCACTTTCCTGTATACATGTGTATTATTTGCCTAAATATGCTTGAGATGATGTTGTGTTTCTCCTCAGCCGGATGAAGACCTTTTTAATCCAGATTATATTGAGGTTGATCGGGTTTTAGAGATCGCTATCACCACTGATACAGAAACAGGAGAGGTGAGGCACTCTTCAAATGAACTCCTGAAAACAAACCTGTGCTTGTAGTGCCAGTCTTTTGAGGTTTGGTTTGTTTGCATGCATGAAAACAGGAAGTTACCCACTACCTGGTGAAATGGTGCTCATTGTCATATGAGGAGAGTACTTGGGAGCTTCAGGAAGATGTTGACCCTGTGAAAATCCGAGAGTTTGAAGACCTCAAGAAAATACCAGAAATTAAACTTGTGGTAAGCACTCAAATGCAAATGAATGGGAATTGTTTTTTCGATTATTTTTTTTTCCTTACGAGATAAGATTTATTGGATGTTTCCAGTGCGTATGTTTACATTGTGATCACATGGTTCAGCTCTATGTTTGATTGTATTATCCAAAACATGTTTATTCTTCTTTATAGTATGCATTTTGAAGGAAGTGGCACTTCTCTTGTCTTTTGTAATAATACAGGAAAGGCCTCTACCAGAACAGTGGCAAAAACTGGAGAAGTCCAAAGAATACAGGAATGGGAACCAGCTCAGAGAATACCAATTAGAGGGAATGAACTGGCTTCTTTTCAACTGGTACAACAGGTGAAAGACTTTTAATATCAGCACTTGTAGGGTCTACACAAAATTATGATCCTAGTTTAAGGTATAAAGAACTATTTAAGTATTAAACAAGGGCCAAGCATATGATGTTTGTTTTAAGTCTCAATTTAAATGGATTTTTTAAAATAATAAAAACTAGGATAAATCAAATCAATACTAATTAAACTATTTGTTTTTTTATCAATTCTTCTCATATGTATAATTAGCTGAAATTCTGACTTTCAACTTCATGTCAATTTATTATTTTTTATAAAAAAATGCAAAAAAATTAAAACAAGCAATATATAGGTTTCAAAATCCAATTTTTATGTTTATATAATGGTATTGTCTAATACAGTGGTTTTCAAACTTTTTCAAGAGGGACCCTTTTTTTTTTTCTTTTTTTTTTACGCGACCCATAGGCTAGGCTTGTGCGCAGATTTTTTTTCTTTAACCTTTCTTTAAGCACTTTTTTTAACCACTTTACTTTTGATGATGCACGTGCACTTGCTGATCCTTGACGCGATTGCAACGCAAAGTCGATTCTGAAATAATTTGATCAAGCTATAGGCCTACATACAGGACTTTTAACCAATAAATAGCTTATCGTTTGCTGAATGCTTAAAAAATACAAATACACAAAACATATTCCACAACAAACTCTTTAAATGTAGCCTAATATTCATTATATACAGAACAGAACAAGAATAAAAAAATAATAACTAAACAAGCCAAAACGAAATAATTTAAAGGGAAAGTAAAAGGGGCATTAGCTATGCTCACGTAGCCTAACTCTCTCATTAGAATCAAAATATTTTAACATTCGCGATGTATTTGATGGTAAACTATTCTTTATTATAGGCGTTGTAGCAACTTCACTCACGTTGCAATATCGACAGGAAAAAAAATCATCCTTTTCACATGCGCAAAAATGTGCTTGGAAACATCACAGTTGAGCGGTGCTTACGCTGAATGGTACGAATTGACTATTTAAACAGAGCAGTGTGATTTTTATATTAGGTTGACTATTTTATTGTCATATTTTTATTTCGGCTATAATGAACAGGCTGCGATGTCAAGCCTGGAATGGTGTATTTGTGTGTGTGTGTGTGTCACTGGAAACAAAAAATATACTCCGTCGGTCATACAGGACATCATTCAAACTGCAAAGTGTTTATTTATACTTGTGTACACTCGACACAACATTGTTAAAACACAACATTGTGGTTTTGTCAAACTGTAAACTCTTGTCAAACTTAACTGTCACCCAACCAAAATCACACACAGTTTAAAAGCAAACTTATTTATAATTCAAATGAGAATAGGGCTGTCAACGAATATTCTAAATTCGAATAGGCCTATATATTCGAATAGTTTTAAAAAACAGAGTTTCGAATGTGAAAATTAATATTTGAATGTGGAAAAACACGCCCGCGGTATCAGAGGCGCGGCTGTCTGCTTTGCGAGTGGGCGCTGCCTGAGGGATCAGGGACAGGTCACAAGAGTCGCACTGGCACAGCTGAAAGTTTTTTATTTCTTATTCTTATTTATTGCATGAATAAGGTAGGTTAGATACAGCAGTTCCATGCATCGCAGGCTTCACTGGTTTGATTATTTACCGTTTCATGTCAAGGAAAAGTTCCATGTTTACCACAGCACAGCTCGCTCGGGGCGTTCAATGTCGGTTCTTTAAAACTTCAATTAATGTTAATAATATTTGTTGCAATCACTGAATGAAGCCTGCTATATTTGGGACAAGAGTCGCGACCTTAAATTGCTTGCACAAAACTCTTGATCAGCACTCAATATTTGTTTATTGTTGTTGTTGTTCATTTAAACCGTTATGCGCAGAGAGCGTGAGGTGAGGGAGAGAGAGAGAGAAAGAGTGCCTAGCGAGAGTGAGGTCTGCGGTCTTGGCCATTAGTTGATTTAGGCTACTTGTTTTTGTGTAGGTAATACGTTGTCAAATATGTTTAAACTTAAATAAACTACCTAAACAATTAGTTATGTCTCTTTGTAATTTGACCTGTTATTGACGTAATGCGCGTCATTGACAAAATGCACAACCAGATGTTCGAATAGTTCGAATATAGCATATGTGTTTTTTAGAGGGATTTTTAAGAACGTAATTTTTGAGTAGCCTAATTTTGACAGCCCTAGGAAGGAACGACGAGTGTTAGTGTGTTGTTGCCGATGGAGCGAACGAGTGCGTGTTTTGTGTATATTAATGAGAAGGGCCTGCTTATTCGGCATAATCTGGTCCCAAGCCGGTTCGCAGGACGAGAGGGCAACACGCATGTCAGGAGAAGCATTCAGTTTGTTTCGTTGTTTCAAAGCTATTATTATTAATATTAATTTAATTAGAAAACGGAATTATTATTATTATTATTTTTTTAAATCACTGGCGACCCATTTCAGGGTTTGAAAACCACTGGTCTAATACAATGCAATGTCTTTTTATCTTTTATCTGAAGACTTTTCTCAGCAAATATTATATTATAATTGACAAGTGTAATTAATTTGGTTAATTTATCAGCATATAATGTAATACTTTTTTTTATTATTATTAATTATTATTGATAACAACCCTAGCTGTAAGCAAATACAAATATCAACAATAAGCACATTTATTATAATTTTTTTAACCTAACCCTTACCTAATAAAAACTCTAGTAAGCATGATAAAATAACTTCAGACAGCAGAAGGATGCTCATGCGACCGATTCCAAATCCTGTTCCTCATAACTGCAATCTGACGTGATTAATGAACACCTGACCATGTTTCTCCTGATGTAGGAAAAACTGTATTCTGGCTGATGAGATGGGGCTGGGGAAGACCATCCAGTCCATAACGTTCCTCTTTGAGATTTTCTACATGGGTCTGAGAGGACCCTTCCTCATCATCGCCCCGCTCTCGACGATCACCAACTGGGAGAGGGAATTCCGCACATGGACTGAAATGAACGTCATTGTCTATCACGGCAGCCAGATCAGTCGGCAGATGATCCTGCAGTATGAGACGTACTACCGAGATGAACAGGTGGGTCAAACAGAGTGACAGAAGATGGTTCTTTTTTTTTTATTTAAAAAAATCCTGAAAAAATGTATCATGGTTTCTTAAGGCAGGAAATCAGCATATTAGATTGATTTCTGTAGGATCAAAAGGTTTTTAACCAAGTAAAATTAAATGTAATCTTAAGGTTTTAGAAAAAATTTAACTTAAACATCTTATTTATTTTTATTTTTGAATAACCAAACCTGGCTCTTGCCATGAACATAGCCATAGAAGCCGGAATGGCTTTAAAAAAAATTAAAGAAGGTTCATGTGACACTAAAGACTTTAGTAATGATGCTGAAAATTCAGCTTTGCATTACAGGAATAAATTACATTTAAAATTGATTGAAAATGTTAAAAACAGTTATTTTGAATTGGAATAATATTTCACAATATTACTGTTTTTTTGTGTGTTTTTTTTACTGTATTTTTGATCAGTTAAATGCAGCCTTGCTGAGCATAAGGGACTTTCAAAAACATTAACTAGGTTTTTATTTTTATTTTTTATTTTTATGTATTATGTACATATTTGTTAGTGCAGTGTATACAATCAGTCTTTCTCTTGCTCCTTCAGGGAAACATCATGACTGGTCAGTTTAAGTTTCATGGCGTGATCACTACATTTGAAATGATTATGGCTGACTGTCCGGAGCTGAAGAAGATTAACTGGCGCTGTGTGGTGATTGATGAGGCCCATCGCCTAAAAAACCGCAACTGTAAACTGCTGGAGGGACTCAAACTCATGAACCTGGTCAGTTTAATATGCTTGTTTTTATTTATTCGTTTGCTCATTTGTGGACCAGGAACCTGATGCAGACATTTTTGTCATACTAGGGTTCAGGTTTAAATGCAGAAAAGGGGAAGTGAAGCCATCTGCGATCTAAACTACTGTGCCATCTCTCTTGCACACATCTCATTTAGCTGCCGAGTTCTGCTTCACTGTATTTACATACGCACATCCTCTCTGGACACAGAATGAGTAATCTCATCTCACTCGCTTTACATATCACTGCAACGATGGCCAGTGTGTGCAAACTACATTTGATGCAGTGCTGTTTTTTCCCCTCACTGCTGATTAGGTGTTCACAGATGCATTTTGATGTACAGTGGCCCCAAAAAGTATTTGGACACATAAGGCACATGATGCAATAGTGAATGACAACCAGAAAGCGTCAAAATGGTGTATTTGTGCTATATTTAAAATGTGTAAATAAATACAACCCGGTTTGATAATTTGTATCTAATACATTAATTTTTTTTTTTTTTTTTGAGACTTCAATGTCCAAATACATTTTTGGTCCACGATATAGAAATATACCCTCTTGTTGGAGCTAAAATGGGTGAGACTAGATAAAATCCAGCTTAATATTTCCCAGTCTTGTCCCCATAATTTCCTATGCTGTCTTTCACCATCTATATAGATAAAAGTATTAAAAAGTCTAAAAATAGACAGTTGAGAGAGTTAGTATAGATATCTAGTATATCTAGTATAGAATCAGTAGGCTGAACTTAAAGTTTCTATCTGTTTTCTCCCTCAAGGAACATAAAGTTCTTCTCACAGGAACTCCTTTGCAGAACTCAGTTGAGGAACTCTTCAGTCTTCTTAACTTTCTCGAACCCTCACAGTTCCCTTCCGAGACCACGTTCCTGGAGGAGTTCGGAGACCTAAAGACAGAGGAGCAGGTGAGAACTAATCCTCAAATGCTTGATAGGAAGTTTGTGATCTTGCCTAATATGTTTGTATAGTATGGACTCGATAAACATCTACACACCTTCACCTCCAATTATCTGAGCCATCTATTCTAGAGGATAGTAGGAAACATCCTTGTTAACATCCTAAGAGGCCAATGCTGATAAACTCAAAATAACCAAATAAAGTGCTGCAGGGATGACATGTTTTTGTTGGCCAACCTGAAAGTTAGCATCATCCTGATTCCCTCAACAAAATGCCAATAGGATTTTTTCATTAACTTTTGGATTTGTGTAGAAAGCTGTGACCATGAAACATTTACGATTCAAGATAATCTTCACAAATGACCACAACTGAAGCCTTACGCGAGGAGTTACTGAAGCCAACAGAAATAAAATGTTAATATTTAGGTTATAAATGAACTCGCCACGGTCACATGACCACACTGTACACGGAGCGCTGTAAGAAGAAAGCTCAGTCCATACTTAGTGACATTCATCATCCAGCTCACTCACTATTGAGACCCAGGTACAAATCCTACAGCCTGAGAGACAAGAGCGGACACCGGACACTATCATCACACTCAAAACATGCTTTTACAACAGCTTCTATCCAGCAGCAGTGAGACTTATGGCGAATTCAAATAAATAGGGTGTATATATATATATATATATATATATATATATTTGACTCTAAGGGTGACCCAGTACAATTCCTATGTATGTGTGCAATTTTCTTTGTGCTATACAAATGGCAAATAAAACTTTGAACTGCTAAAGCTTCTGACAGCTCTTTCAAAAAATCTATAAATTGGAAAGTTAGAGTTAAAATACTTTGCAAGAGCATGAGTATAAATACAACAAGGCTGTACAAGTGAATTAGTGAGTCGATGATTTTACCTGTTCGGCGCAATTGTTTAGCCACTCATTTAGCCACTTGTTAGCAACCATCTTTTAAAGATCTTTTTAAGTAAAAGCTTTAAAAAAAAACACAAGTAGGGTATAACTGTGTTTAATGTCATAGAATAAAACATGAAAATATCTTGAGCTTGTATATAAACCACAGACTTTACTTTAGGCATTTAACCAAAAACTCATTGACTTGTTTGGGACGATGGAACCAGAAGTATTATTTCCAGGCAACATGGCCTGATTATTGTTGATTTAGGTGAAAATAAATATGCCCAGCTTTAACCTGAGAAACATTAACATTCCCACAGGTAAAGAAACTGCAAGCCATTCTGAAGCCCATGATGTTGAGGAGACTGAAGGATGATGTGGAGAAGAATCTGGCCCCTAAAGAGGAGACGATCATCGAGGTGGAGCTCACTAACATTCAGAAGAAATACTACCGTGCCATTCTGGAGAAAAACTTTACCTTCCTTGCCAAGGGAGCGAACCAGCACAACATGCCCAACCTCATCAACACAATGATGGAGCTTCGCAAGTGCTGCAATCACCCATACCTCATTACAGGTGACGTGTGAAAATGACAATTCTTGAAATATCTTGGTTGCAGTTCTCTACATCTCATGAGTCACTCATGAGCACAATTTGTAGTGCTGACTTAGTCTCCCATCTACCTTTCTGTCAGGTGCTGAAGAAAAGATTCTTGAGAGCTTCAGGAAAACCTACAGTTCTGACGCTCTGGATTTTCAGCTGCAGGCAATGATCCAGGCCGCTGGTAAACTAGTGCTTATCGACAAGTTACTGCCCAAACTGCTATCTGGAGGACATAAAGTGCTGGTGTTTTCCCAGATGGTTCGATGCCTTGATATACTGGAGGACTACCTCATTCAGAGGAGGTGAGACAGCTGGTTATTATCCAGTAACATTAGTCATACTTTTATTTAAAAAAAACTGTTTTTGAGACTGCTGGTAAATGAGAAAATAGACTGAAAATAGAATGTCAACATGAAATTAAAACACGGTTTACGTCATTTGTTGCTTTTCTTCAAGGATAGTCAAGAAAAACAGATTTTTAAAATTTATATTTCCAGGCCTAAAAAGGTAGTGGAAATGTATAAAAATCTTAAAGTCATAGCAATTTCTGTAATGCCTATTAAAAAAATTCTAGCTATGCTCATTTTTAAAATTGGGAAATTCATTGGTCAAAACATATGGGTCAGTAAGTTTTAAGTTTTATGTGGGTTAGATGCAAAAACTATATTTCTTATCATCTGAAATTTGTATGCTGCGTGTAGATATACATACGAACGGATTGATGGGAGAGTTCGAGGGAATCTAAGGCAGGCTGCCATCGATCGCTTCAGCAAGGTGGACTCTGACCGCTTCGTGTTCCTCCTCTGTACACGAGCAGGAGGTCTGGGCATCAACCTCACCGCCGCCGACACCTGTATCATATTCGACTCAGACTGGAACCCGCAGAACGACTTGCAGGTGAATGCGGAGCATCTTTTATATACAGTGTAACTGACTCTCTCCTTTAGCGATTTCCATCCCATATATAAAAAAACCTTTCCAAAAAACACAAATATCCCATTTGTTATAAACATGCTTTGAATTCCACAGGCTCAAGCTCGCTGCCACCGGATCGGTCAAAGCAAAGCGGTGAAAGTGTATCGACTTATCACGAGAAACTCATACGAGAGGGAGATGTTTGACAAGGCCAGTCTGAAACTGGGATTGGACAAGGCTGTTCTGCAGGACATCAACCGCAAGGGCAGTCTCAATGGGGTGAGGGATCCACGACATTAAACTTTTTTTCCCCCACATCTGCCAGTGTTGAATTTATCAAATGTATCAGCCTTAAACAAAAAAAGAAAGAAAGAAAATTATATATTTCCCAAACTGTGGGTTGCTAACCCCTGCGAGTGATGAAAAGCTAATAATTAATTAAATGCATAAAAATGAAAATAATTTTTAAAATAAAAACTTTATTAATTATTTTTTTTTGTCTGTGTGTAATGTGACCATTAAATAACATCAGAGAACCATAAAGATGTGAATGTGTTGTTAAATTTATTATTGAAATATTAAGATAAAATCTCAAGGGAACTTTAAGTAAATATTTTAGCCCAAGGGTTTCAGGTGACAAAAAAACTTTTGCAATCTCTCCAAGAAACACATGTAAATAAAACACCAAGACCCATCGTTATTTGGAAAAGTTTGGCTTCCTTTTTTACCACTGAGATGAACAATTTCAGTAAGAATATTTTTAAGAACGTTTTGCAGATAAATTTGCTGCTTGTGTTCGATGAGTTTAAATTTTGAATCCTGGGCAGACAGAAACTATATTTAGTTTATGCCATGACTTGCTACACTGACTAGGACAGTATTGTTTAATTACTGTACCTTCCTCTTTCAGGTTCAGCAACTGTCCAAGATGGAGGTCGAAGATCTTCTCAGGAAGGGGGCGTACGGGGCGCTCATGGATGAGGAAGATGAGGGCTCTAAATTTTGCGAGGAGGATATTGATCAGATCCTGCAACGCCGCACACAGACCATCACAATCCAGACTGAGGGGAAGGGATCAACTTTTGCCAAGGTATACACTACCGTTTAAAAGTTTGGGGTCAGTCAGATGTTTTTTATGTTGTTGAAAGTCTCTTATGCTCACCAAGGCTGTTTTTTTATAAAAAAAATTTAATCAAAAATACAGTAAAAACAGCAATACAATTTAAAATATCTGTTTTCTGTTTTAATATATTGTAAAATGTTATTTATTTCTGTGATTTCTGTAATGTTTTGATAAATTTAATGCATTTTTGTATTAATTATAAAATATAAAATTAATTTTATTTTTTCTTATTCATTTCTTTAAAAAAAAAAAAAAACTGACCCCAAACTTTTGATCTGTAGTGCGTGTATATGTCTACACATCCACAATCTATCTCTATATATAAATGTCAACGGATGTTATATTGGTATTTTATGTGCTAAATTTAAATGTTTTGAAGACGTGGTATGGATCAAATCTAATTATTAGCGTCTTTTCTTGTTATCTCTATTTTTTTTGTTCGTAAATATGGCAGATGAGCTGGAAAAGTTATGCGAATGTAAAAGATGAATAAGGATTGCATGTATCAGTAAAACACAGGCTTTTACATATGTGATCTCTATCTTGATAAAGTGCTTATAATCCTTTATTATTTCCCATTTCCAGGCTAGCTTTGTGTCTTCAGGGAACCGTACAGACATCTCTCTGGATGATCCAAACTTCTGGCAAAAGTGGGCCAAAATTGCTGAACTGGAAATTGACTCCAAGGCAGAAAAGGTAAAAAGTATGATGGTTTAAAAAGCTGAAGCTTTGCATTTGAGCTCACTGTGACTCAGGTGGTGTAATACCAGAGAATCAGCTCATAGACTTCACCAGAGAGAGAAAATGAATGGGGGGGGGGGGGGTCATTTGAATATCAGCTGATTCAAAACAGATGGCTTGGATTAATGTGTGATTGTGAATGTGCTGTTTTACACTGTTTGCGTGTTGGTGACATTTAAGGAGAAAAATATTGAGACTGCAACACTTTCTGACTCATGTCTGTGTCTCTGCCAGGAGAGTCTGGTGATCGACACTCCTCGCGTAAGGAAGCAGACGCGTCACTATAATTCTTTTGAGGACGATGAACTGATGGAGTTCTCTGAACTGGACAGCGACTCAGAGGAACGACCCTGTCGCACAAGACGTCTCAGTGATCGCAACAGACGCTACCTCCGAGCAGAGTGCTTCAGAGTGGAGAAAAACCTTCTTATTTTTGGGTCAGTGTTTCATTTGCTTTCGGCTGCCCACTCATTCCTTCTGGGTCACCTTCTGTTGCCCTACAACAGACTTTTAATCAAATTAAGTATTGTTACAAGCAACTAAAGGAATTCAACATAGAATTTTCTGCCATTTCATTTGCAGATCAAGCAGACCATATATTGGAATAAACTTTGTAGCCATAATTAGGCTATATGAAGTTATACATCTCAGACTCTGATGAAATGTCTTTGCTGATTGTACAGGTGGGGTCGCTGGAAGGATATTCTCAATCATGGGCGTTTTAAATGGCACCTGTCGGAGCGAGACATGGAGGTGCTGTGCAGGGCTCTTCTGGTCTACTGTGTTCGCCATTATAAAGGAGATGACAAAATTAAAAGCTTCATCTGGGATCTGATTACACCCACTAAAGATGGACATAATCAAACACTGCAAAACCACTCAGGTTATTAATGCATTTGTTCACACCCTGACATTTTTTGCGTCCATTCATTAATTATTTTTGGGATGACTTTATTCACGATTAGACATAATCAATTGACATTTAAATAGAACAATAAATTAATCGATTAATAATTAACATTAATGTTACAATTGCACCAAATTTTTTAGAGCTTTTTAAACATTTTTAAATTCACAGTTGAATTTGTTTGCTATTAATTCAATTACGAATTAAATTAATTATCAGTTTAAATTAGTTGCACTTTATTATCATTATTTTAATGTCAGGATATTATTTAATCTACCAATTACAATTTAAAAAATCACATAATATTATTTTATATGTGGATATATAATAGTAAATATAACTCTTTTTTTAAACTTTGAACAAGTCAGATCATGAATGCTTTCACTGCTTGAATGATCACTGAAAACGTTTGTGCTGAAATTGATCGACAGTCAGTATGTTTAATCCAATAAAATTGACAATTGAATGTTGATTAATCATAAGCATCCCTAATCCTTGATTATTTGAGTATTCAAATTAAATGAACTGACTGCTTTTCATACAATTGTTGCATAATGATCAAAATAAAGACATTAAAAAACATAATAATTGCGTTTCACCTGTCCAGGTCTGTCTGCTCCTGTCCCGCGTGGTCGCAAAGGAAAGAAACTGAAGAACCAGTTGAGTCCACCTGAGCTGAAGAATGCTGACTGGCTGGTCCACTGTAACCCAGAGGTCGTGCTTCAGGACGACAGCTACAAGAAACACCTCAAACAACATTGCAACAAGTAAGACTTCATAAAGAATTCAAGCATCTTCAAAATTGCATGTTGTAATGCATGCAGATGAACAATGTATGCATTTAATGTCAGTGTAGCAAAAGTACATTTTGCACCCTGGTTATACCTACATAAATAGTGAGTACTATAATCGGGGTGCATAATTAACAATTTCCTACATCCTGCCAGTAATAAAAATATATTTGCAATATGTCTGATCTCATAATATTGTACTGTAGTAATAACAATTTATGAGCGAGTTTTAATTGTTTGATCATCATGTATCCTGTCATGAACAGGGTGCTACTGAGGGTGCGGATGCTGTACTATCTGAAGGTTGAAGTGCTGGGGGAGGCTGCTAATCAGGCTCTTGAAGAGATCCCAGCCAGGTACTACATGGCCCAAAGCCCATTTTAACCTCATGAATACTAAATGAATTCTGTATAAAGCAGTTGTCATTGTTGAGTAGCCTAATATATAAGGATCTGTGTGTTTTATGCAGTAAACTGGAGGTAACCCTGCCTGATATCGACTACATTGAGATCCCTACTATTTGGTGGGATTCTGAGGCGGATAAATCGCTGCTTATTGGAGTTCACAAACATGGTGAGACATCATCATAGAACAATGGGTGCAACCATCACACCCGGTTTTGTGATGCAATTCTCATGCATGCGCAATATAGCAATGGAAATCTGTGCAGACTGCAGACACAAATACATACAGGTCATTTTTGAATATAGCAGAGATGTGATGCATTTCAATTCATTTAGAGCATCTTTTAAAATGTTTTAAATGTCCAAATGATTCCTATTGACTTCCTCTTGCTTTCATCATCTGCACTAACTTGTCCTTGTGTCCCATGTAGGGTATGAGCGGTATAACGCCATGCGTGCAGACCCTGCTCTGTGCTTCCTGGAGCGGGTGGGTATGCCTGATGTCACTGCACTGACGGTAGAACAAAGTGGAGCAGAAACTGCTTCCGATGCACCGGATAGGTAATATCCTTGAAAATCAGCAGCTGAGATAATGTAGCTGTATGTGGGAATACAACAATTACATATTTTGACTCTTACAACCATAAACACACGTTTCTTCTTGTGCAGTATCAGCAAAAGTGATGAAATTAAAGAGGAAAACGACATGAAGTCTGAAGAATTAGAAGAGAAAGTAGAGATCAAGGTAATAATAGGAAGTCAAAAGAATATGAGGTCAGATTAATTATGCTATAGAGTTTTAACCAAATGCACAGACTGTTACTTTAAGTAAAGTTTTCTTTTACAAAGGAGGAGCCCATGTCAGAGGAAACAGGGAAAAATGACACTACAGTGACAGGTATTACAACCCTCCTTATGTATTTATTCATCCATGTATGTTTTGAAATGTAACTGTTACTATTGTAACTAAACATTTAATTGTTTGTTAATACTGTTAAGGGGTGGTCACACTAGCTTTTCAGCATGCACAGTTATTTCGCACCCTACGTCAGGATATACCCTTAACAGGATATGATGTCACACTCCAGGAATTCTATTTTAAAGCTCCAGTCGGCAAGTCTGGCAGATTGAGTGGATTTAGGAAAATTTTGAATGTTTACAACTCTCATGCCCCTCCCCCACTATCAACGGATACCCTCCCACCCAGTTCATGCTCGTCAGTGCGTGTGCACCAGATTTTCAGTGAACGCCAGGACTCTCAAGTGTCACGCATTGAGCGTGACAGTCACTCATGTCGGTCTTTTGTCACGCTCTCCCGCCACACATTGTATTTCTCACGCTAAAAAACTATTTGTAATATATTTAATATGCCGCAGCGCCCAAAACTCTGGCCGCGCTGCTCTCACTGTGGAACCGGCATGAATCAAGCGCGTTTCCTCTGGTGTTGTTCGTCGAGCTACACAATAAGCCAATCAGAAAATAGCACTATTGTATCTGGGTAAGATTTAACGCAACAACCAATGGCAAAAATGTATCCAACCCCCCGTCGGCTGGATGTCACTCTTACCTGTCTTCAAAACTTGAGAGCCCTGGAACGCGCCCGTCTCATCAGCATCCATCAACACCATGGAGTATTTGGAGGTATGCTGTCCTGGCTAATCTACCGATAGATTGCAATTGCTAACGTCATTTATACTCTAAATGAGCTTACTTGATTTTCCGCCATCACTCTTCGTTACTGCGCGAACTTCCGCGAACTTCAGGCGTGTGCATGTGGTTGTAACGTGCGCGAGGGGTGGCGTGTGCCCGATCTGTGATTGACAGTCAGATCTCACACCCCCCTGCGCTGATTGGACATGATGAACCGGGAGCTGTGGATTTTTGCAAAACAAATAACACGCTCCAGGTGGAGTTAGAAGCTCGGGTTTTTTTCTAAAACCACTTTATTTATGTTGTTCTGTCAGATTATAGTGTCGATTTCACTGAATATGATCAAAAAAATGTTGCCGACGGCAGCTTTAAATGTATTCTAAATGATTTACTTTTGTAACATCTTCCAATACTGGATAAATTGAGAACTTTACCAGCCATAAATATTTTGACACAATAAATATATATATTGCATTCTCTTGTATATTTGTGTCAAATATGAGGACATTTAGTTACTTGCAGAAATGCCACTTTATCTTGTCATTTTGTGCAAGATCATTTAGTTTTGGTTCTGAAGTTTTAAGACTATAAACATTTTGACATCCTAACTTACTTCGGTGATACACAACAGCTACTGATCCTTAGTAGACAATTTGCATTTCACATGCAGACTGTAACTGTTTTACTTACTTGCCAAAGCTTTTTTGTGTGTTTGTTTTGGACCCTGCTGAGAATTTTTATTTTTTTTCCCATTTACAGATTGGAGGTCAGTTTTAATCCTCTATTGATCCGATATCATCATTTTACTTCTCCTAACTTGTAGTATGCAACAAAAAGCGAAAAACTTTTTTTTTTTAACTGCTCTCTCGCATTGGTATCCGTATGAATCCAACACAAACCCTAATGTGACCACCCCTTAAGTTGATCTTATTTCAGGTTGAGTCTAATGTAGCAATTCTTTTAAAGGGGGCTTCGTAGCATCTCTCGCAGGAGACCTGATTACAGAGATGATGGAACAGGGGCGGATACAGTGGCCGGCAGGTTCGGCTCTTACAGCACGTTTACGCCGCCTCATTACTGCATATCAGCGTTACACGCGCCGTGAGCCACTTCGTCATGATTTCCTCTTACACGATGGAATTGCACCTGTGACGTGGCAAATTGGAGAGTTTAGGCACTGCACAACTGAGCCTGACCCACTCTTTTTGGAGTGGCAACGAAGGTAGGCGATGTGGCGGCAGTTTTATTGTTTAATTAATGTTTCCTTTAAAACATCTCAGCTATGATGTTTTTGAGCATCCTATCAGAGCATTGTGTTTTTAAGATACCCTGTCAAATAAAAAATTATCCATTTCATTGCACCCTATCTTGCTGTTTTTAAAATGTGAGTACATTTCTTAAGTCTTAAGGCTCCTGATTGAGGTGAGGTGAACCTGAAACCAGACTAATTATAGAAGGCATTCATAAAACTGATTAGTTAGCAGCAGCAACAATAGCTAAAGAGGATTATTGGTTAGCATAACATCCTGGAGGATAGTATGAACACTGAAACATGTTGAAAGGTCATGATGAACATTGGAAGAATAGTATTTTGGTGCTGCATCAGGTAAGAGGTTAATAGTTTATGATATCTGAAAATCTGTTAATTCAGTATTTGAGGCAGATTTTAAGGTTTATGTACTCCTGAGATAACATATTGCCTTTAACACAGGTGGACACGTCGTGAGCAGGCTGACTTCTATCGCACAGTGTCCTCGTTTGGAGTAGTGTATGACCCAGACAAGAAAATCTTTGACTGGGGCCAGTTCCGTGCCCTTGCTCGATTGGAGAGGAAGACCGACGAAAGCTTGGAGAGATATTTCCACAGCTTTGTTTCAATGTGTCGCACTGCATGTAGACTGCCGCCTAGAAAAGATGAAGGTAAAATGGATATTAGACTTGAGACGAACAAACTAATTAGAGATAGTTTGGTGAGAAGATTAATAGCAACTCAATCTGTCATAACGTATACACAAATTCTTGTCTCATGTAGGTACCGTTGATCCTTCGCTGTTTGTGGAACCCATTACAGAAGAGCGAGCTGCCCGAACATTATACCGTATTGAGCTTTTGAGAAAGGTCCGTGAGCAAGTATTGCGGCACCCACTCCTGGGGGCACGACTGCAACTTTGTCGCCCTAGTTTGTACTTACCCGTCTGGTGGGAGTGTGGCAAACATGATCGTGATCTTCTCATCGGTGTTGCCAAGCATGGCTTGAGTCGAACTGACTTCTACATCCTCAATGACCCACAACTATCCTTCCTGGAGGCCCATCGGAACTATGTTCATAAAGAAAACCACAGATATCCAGTCCCAGGCTTGCCTCACCATCATTGCTGCTTGTATGATGCCAACCTTGTACATTGTCAGTCCCCACAACCTCCAGAGTATCATCACACACCTTCACCCCACACGCCAACACAACTTGTCCATACTCATGGGCATCACCAGCCCACAGAAGTGGTAGCGTCAGAGCCAGGAAGTTCCCTGGGAATAGGTTCAGGAAACAGGGAAGGGTTTTTGGACTGCCCTCCATTAGATGACTCACTGGAGTTGGGGTCTTTACAACATGAAGGTTTGACATCAGACACACTACATAGCAAATCTGGTAAAGAGGCCTTCAACGGATTCCCGTTCAATTCTGCAACTGGTGGGCTGAATATGCTAAATTCGTATGGTGTGCAGGGGGAGCTAAATGGGGCTCAAGGAGATATGGCGGACTCCATAGCTGGGAAACTTCGCAGCGATGTTCTGGTGGGAGAGCAAGGGTCCTCGGAGGAGACTGGATTAATGGCTCCTTCTGTGGAACTCGATGAACTTCAAACTCCATGGGAAAGCTCAGACCATGTTGAAACCTCTGACATGTTCAACGAGACTGATCCCATTTTGGGAGCACAAGCTTTGGAACCCAGCTTTTTGGATGCTCCTCAACCAGACGATGGACGGGAGGGTGATGAAACACTAACCGACTGTTTGAGCATGCCCAGTTCGGACTCTCAAAGCAACCCTGTCGAGCCACTGGCACCAAGCTTTATGTTGTTCAAAGACCTTAATGTTGGAGAGGCATCTGTGGATCAGACAGATTTATCATCCAGTCTTCCAGATTATGTTCCACCACCTCTTAGTCTCCCGGATGTTAGTCTTGACCAGGCAGATCCCATTAGTGAGGATCAAGAGGACAAGCTTAGTGATTCCAACATCACACATGGTGTTCCCAGTCCAGGAGAAGGTGCTGAAAGCATAGGGTTTCATTTTGAGAAAGAAGACCTTTCTCCAGACAGTCTGAAGACTAAGGATTCTCAAGATGAAATTGACAAGATGCCTTCAATAGAGTCTCCAAGGGACAATTGTCTTGAGGAATCTCAGAAAGGGGACTGCAAGGTGACATTTGATGACTCCAATGAAGGAGACTTGGAAGAATCTTACGAGAAGCCTCTAAGAGAGACAGAAAAAGTGCCTTTAGAGGAGTCTTATGATTTGACTTGTGACGAGACCCTGCAGGAACCTTGTGAAGGGTTTCAGCAAGACTCAGCGGAACAGCAATTGGTGGAAGAACCCTCTGAAGAACCCTGCAAAGAACCATCAGACCCAATAGAAGAGTGCAATCTAACTAACACTACTCTCTCAACAGATTACCCTTTGCCTCCTTCACTCCCATCATCTCCAACTACCTTACCTGACACCTCTGTATCTCCGGTCCTTGATGTAGTCCCTAAACAAGAGTTCCTCATGGATCCAGTGGTGTCAGATGTGAAGCCTGAGCCAGACAGCACTACGCAGACCCCTCACCTTGAGCAGACTGAGGTTTTGGATGTAAAGGACAAGATAAAAGACGAAGATGCAAAGACATCAGGTATTGTGGCTGTAGACTTCAGCTTTTTTATCTTTTTTATGTTTTGTTCTTGATTCTGTTGAATACTGATGTACGTAGTAGTTCCAGGTCTGTTGACCACATTCATGTTTCTCAATACTAAGCTACCTTTTTTTTTTTTTTTTTTTTTTTTTTTTTTTTTTTTATATAGAAAACTAGTAATGGCAGCTTGGGCTGTTTCCCCTTTTGGTGAAAAACATCTTAAACCAAAGCTGGTTGCTGATCCTCTAGCCTGGCCAAGTTGGTGTTCAGCTTGTTGGGCAGCTGTTCTCCTAGTCTGACCACCTTATTAGTGTCCACAAACTAACCAGATCAGCTTGAGCAGGTTGAGAGACCAGCAAACTAACTTGGGCTATTTTAAGCTCACTTGTTTGGTACCATGAGGATGTACAAACCAGTTTTAAGGACGAAACTGTATTAGGTCAAAAAGATTATATAAGCAGAATAATTGACTCCTGACTGAACATTTTTGATGTTTGTCATTAGTTATTTCTAAACGTTGACGAACACTAGACCGATTTGGTTGATGGAATCACTTAATATTTTCTGTTATGTTACTTTGCCAACTTATTCAGACAAATTACATGCTGATGAAAGATTTTCTCACAATGTTTTTAAAACCAAAGAAAACAAATTGAAGTTAGTTTTATTTAGTCTCTGTCTAGCAACATGCTTTGAAAAAATTTATTCTTTTTTTTTAGCATTATTGGGAGATGTTGATGCACCACGCTTTGCGCTGCCCATGTGCGAGATGGCAGACAGTATCCATGAAATAAGGGAACCAACCATTGCTCAGCTTTTACAGGAGAAAGCACTCTTCTCCTTCTCAGAGTGGCCTAAGGTATTGTCATGTTAGTGATTGTTTCCTGCCTGTATTTGGACTGAAATATATACTTCTAAATATACTATAAATATTCCTATACTTTCCTATAACCTCATTAATTAGTTATACTGAAAATAGATTGAATATATCTTGTATATTCTACAGAACATGTGAAAATCTTGTCTTATAATGTAAATGGTAAAGCTGGTTTCAGCTCACTAGACATGTATCAGTCACCTATTGCTGCAGTTTGACCCATTTCATACACCGTCTTGTGTTTTTGTGTTTTCTACAGGACAGAGTGATCATCAACCGTATTGACAGTATCTGCCATACTATCTTAAAGGGGAAGTGGCCTTCCTCTAGTCAACAGTATGAGTCTCCCTCTGCATTGGCTAACACCTGCATGCCCAGCAGTGCCCACCAGAGGGCAGGATTTCTGACTACCAGAATGCCTATATCTCAGAGCCTTAACTTCAACCTCCCACATGCAGTACCCCACTTACCAAAGGTAAGAACATCACATCCACAGACAGGATGTTTTTCAAGATGTCTGCAAATACTTAAAACGTTTTGAAATGTCTTAAATTCAAAGCAAGTTTTGGAAATGTCTTGAAATAAATTAAATGAAATACCTGGAAATATCAAGACATTTCCAACGTGTGATTTTTGAGGCCTGAAAAGTCATGGAAATTAATGAGATCTTGAAATGTCATACACACACAGTCCCATTGATTTACAACTCTTGTCCCAACAGGAGCGGTTAGTTGCCCCAGCATTTCTCTCTGAGCTCAAACGTCCCAGGCGTGGGTTTGAATTCGAGGCAGAAGTTCTTGCCAAACCAAGCCATCTTGGAGAAAAGATCCAGGTTGGCGTGTCTCATCGTGCTAACGCTCTTCTCCTTAATGGTTGGCAGGATGCCGCTATTGACCTCTCCAAACCATCTGAACTAACAGTTGGTGGAGACAGTGGGCCAATCAGTCATATGAGCCACACTGTCCAGTCAGCGCCCCACAAAATAACCGGGATAGGCTCCATACAAGGCTCACTGGGATTGGATATGGCTGGCATTTTGCAGGCTGGCTTAATTCATCCTGTCACAGGGCAGATTGTCAATGGTAGTCTTCGTCGTGATGATTCAATGTTGAGACGGAGAAGAGGACGAAGAAGAAATGTAGAGACTCCTGATCTCGGCTTTATGAAGGGACGAGCCATGAACTTGCCTGAACAACAGGTTTGTGGAACCGCGTATCACTGAAATAGATCCAATAGGACACCCAAAATGGAACATGTCCCCATGTCATTCTAGCCTCATAGTATTAGTTTTGTGAAACATAAAAGCAGATGTTTGGCAGAATCTGCTGCTCTCTTCTATCCACCTTAAAAAATAAATAAATAAAAACACCAGCAAAGATTAAAGTCTTCATCAGAAGTCGTATGGGCTGCTTTCATGTTGCTTTTTGTGTTTTTTGGAATTGATATTAGAAGTAAAAAGTAAATACATCATGATCAAGATGGCTTTATAATAGTAACAATGGCATCCCCCCCCCCCCCCCCCCCAAAGTGTTTTTTTGTATGTTTTTCATAAGTTTTACCAGGAAAATTAAAAAATCTGAATTACTGTGATTTTGAAAGAAGTTTTTATTTTAAACTTAATTTTGCCATGAAAATAGCCTTTGATGCTTATATGACACTAAATTATTTTAATTAATTAAAATAGTTTATATATTAAATATTATTAATTAATATTTTATTTGATATATTAACAATATTATTAATTTAATTTATTTTTAATAATTTTAATATAAATAAATATTAATCATTCATGTGTTTATCTTTGTATATTACACAGTGTGGGTCAGAGAGCATCAGCCAGCCTGTTGTGTCCTCAACATCCTCTCAGTCAGAATGCCCTCCATCCACCCCGACTACACTTCCTACTCACCCTCCAGCAAACTCTCCAGCTCCTCCTCCAGCCTCAGAGACCCTGAATGTGAGCGTGGACAGGGACACGGCCAATAAAGGCCTAATGGAATGGCTCCGACAAAACCCCAACTACAACATGGAGCTTTCTGCTTTTCCATCGGTTAGTTAGAAACAGAACAGTTTTATGTTGTGGGACTAAAAAGTAATATTTCTGTGGCTTTTTCTTTTGAGAATTATAAACATTCTTGTTTAAAGATGACATGAAATCAAAATTGTCCCTATTTCTGAATACATGTTGCTCTTGTTATTGGGCATAATCCCGTGCACATTATTCCATAGTTTACACAATCCATTACATTTCCATTGGATAAAATGATCACATTAGTAGTAGTACTTCACATTAGTGCTAAAATAGATTTAAATGCTGTTTCATGTTGACTTTAATGGTATTGTCTCTTTATTTTTGTGCACTTTAAGGTGCTTTAAAAAGATATTTAAACTATATATCGAGCCACTGGCACCAAGATATTTGAATTATCCTAGTTGTGAATGTTTGGTGTATACAGCTTATATACACCTTAATATAAATAATATAATTGACATTTAATATATTACTATAACTCAATTTATATTGTATGTCTTTCATAGTCTCAGAATGCGAGCATGTTGCACAGTTTCTTGGAGCGTCCAAAGCAGAGAAGGCATCGCTGCAAAGATCCCACCAAGCTCGACGTCAGCTCTCTAACTGGAGAGGAGAGAGTCCCGGTAGTGCACAGAAACACAGGCCGCAGGGTAACAAAAACACACATACCATTTTTTGTTTTTGTTAGTTTCCTCAGATTGATTTCATTTAATTTTAATACCACAATTCCTCTGGTTGCAGCTTGGAGGCGCTATGGCTCCAGCCATTAAAGAGCTCTCTCGGTGGCTGGATGCAAATTCAGAATACTCTGTGGCTCCTGATTGGGCGGATGTGGTGAAGCATTCGGTGAGTCCTACATATTCTGTCTAGAAAGGGACAGACACTGAAGCCACTTGTGAATATGTAGTTTGTAGTAATACAGTATATGTAGTTTGTAGTAATACAGTATAACTGAATATATCTTAATTATCAAGGTTGAGACAGAATCGTAATAAGATCAGTCTTGCTCAAGCACCACAAAATCCTTATAGTTTTCCTTGGATGAAAAGACTTTGCTAATGTCTGCTAGTTTCTTGATGCCATTTCACAGATTCTGAGTTCATGTCATCTGCATGAAATCCCTCATAGGGATGTCTGTTATAGTCTATGCTATAGTCTGCATTAAAATGTTATAAGGGTGTCTACATTTGTTTAAATGTCTAAAAAGTATTTATTATTTTATAATTTAAAAAGTTTTGATTTTAGAAAATATCTTATCGGCTTATTCTGTATTTTACTGAAATCCATTCAAGTTCTGCAATCTGCAATTGACCAATCAGAATCAAGAATTCCAGAGAGTTATAAATTATATTGTAGTACTTCATTTCTAATTAATTATTAATCCTAATTATCTTTTTAACTTGTTCATTTATGTCCAAATTTAACTTAGACCTTATTAATACAATCTTTGATATACTGAATGAACATATATTGTTTTCATATCCCAGGGTTTTCTACCGGAGGGCAAATTCGCACGCATCCTCACTGGACCTGTGTGTCGGGATCCCGGTCCACGCAGAAGAGGCAGGCGACCCCGCAGCGAGATGCCCAAAGCCCCCGAGCTCCCCGCTGGCATGGCTCCGCTCTTCATGAACGGTGGGCTCATTGGCAGCATGGACCTGGTTAGTTTACCCAATCTCCGCAATGTCCCTGGTATCCCACTCACCGGTATCATGGGCTTTCCTCATGGTTTCGCCACTGCTGTAACATCAGGAGATGATGCCAAGAATGGTCTCGGCATGTTGCCCATGATGCTCCATGGCATGGCGGCCGTGCAGCCGCCCATGTATAGCGCTCACATGAGTGGGATGATGAGTCAGTCACTTTCAACGGCGACATCCACTATGTCCACCGTAACTGCATCCACAACAGCGAGCGTGACTACGAACTCCGCAACCGTAACCTCAACCTCAAGCCCGCCGGATAGTTCGGATACTGCACTTCAGCGGGATAACACGGGCTCTCCGATGAGCACGGAGAACTGGATTAAGGAGGAAGCAAAGCAAGGAGGGGAAGAGAAAAAAGTGTCCGCTTCGGTGTCTACAGCTGCGGCCACTAGCAGCAGTAGTAGTAGCTGCATCACAAGCACCGGCAGCCATTTGACCTTTAACCCCTTTCTAATCCCGGGAATGTCACATAGTCTGTTGTATCCGCATATGTTCTTGCCACCAGGCAGTATAATGGCATTGCCCGCTATGCCTGCAGCAGACAGCACGGGCAGCCCTAAGAGGAAGAGGAAGAAGGTAAGAGAGGAAGGACTCGTGGAGGGAAACGGGAACGGTGGCGTGCAGATGGACGGCGAGGAATCGAAGGGGGTTAAAGTCGAACAGACACCCGAACGAAAGAGCCAAGAGGGTGTAATGGAAGAAGATGGACATGATGTAAATTTAGCTCTGGTCAAAGATTCTTCTGACCATATACAAGATCCTTCCGAGGATAAAAGTACTGAAGAAAAGGAAAAAAACAAAACGGGAGAAGAACCTGAGCAAGATTCTCAAGGCCCGTGTGACGGTGGAGACTAGAATGCATCCTCACGTTTGGGCCACAGTACTTTTGTGTGTGTCGTGTCGGTAAAAGTTTGTGTATAGGACTTTGATTATCAATGTATTGTTTATAGATCTGCCCTTGTAATTTCACTGACATCTACTCTACCTTCTGGGTGTGTGCTAAAGAAATAGACACTTGAAGCATGCAAACGCTCAGAGGTCTTGAATCCTACAAAGGGGCAACATCATCATTGTTGTTAGCAGGTTTCTTTTGCATCATGGGAATGGACACTCAGAAGATTCTGTCTATTGACGGAGAACGCTCTTAGTGACCCCAGCATCCCCCCCTCCCCCCTCGATTAGGTGTTATTTACTGGCATCTTTCACAGATTCTCAGAAAGTGGTAGGATGTTGGTATTGTGCAAAAAAAAGACAGCAGTCTCACTCCATAATGGTGGTTCGGATCATGCTTTTATAGTTGCATAAGACCTAGATTCATGTTTTGAAACATTTCTCAGAATAATGTAAAGAAAACGCTCATCCCATTGGTAGATTACCAGCAGTGCTGCGTCTGATTCGTTCTTGATGGACCACAGTATTTTGTTCTTAGTTGCTTGCTGCTATGTATTCATTTTAGTCAAGATTTTAACCTAAATCTTTTACAAAGCTATAGATGGCATGAGTGCAACATGGTGAGTGCAATGCAAACTTAAAAAGAGCAAGGCTTGAAGTTGATGGCAAAGAACAATCCAAAACAAAATTGATTTATCTTTTGTTTTGTTTGTCTTAGTGTTTTTGGTATCATTTCCACATTGTCGCTTTTGATAAGGTGCACCCGTTGCGATACTACTAATCGTTTATATAGATGGTTGTGTGTACTTGGGGGTTCTGCAAGTCCAAGGGCGAAGCATTAGTGCCATAGAGGAGACTCGGTTCTAAAAGGTTTTGGTACATGGGCGTACAAAATAAAAGCCTGACTCAAAGCTTTTGTAGCAAAATTGTGAGAACTGTGTTTTAGTGAATTTAAAGGGATAGTCCCCTGTCATCATTTAGTCACCCTCATGTCATTCAAACATGTATGACTGACTGTGGAGCACAAAAGCATAATGCTCACATTGCGCTTTTCCATACAATGAAAGCATAAAATGGCTGTCAAGCTTCGAAAATAACCTTGCAACTACACTTTTCCTCATGCAAAGCTATTGTGTGACTTGGGATATAGTGCGTAATTAATTTGGACTGTTTATAGTGTTTTTGTCCTTCTTGGAGCTTGATAAGTCCTGGTCATTGTGCTTTTGTTTCACTGAAGAAAAGCAAGTCACACAGGTTTGGTATTGAGTAAATGATGCCAGAAAGTTTTGTTTTGGGTGATATATTTCTTCACCCAGAATAAGACAAAAATATCTTTGCAAATCTCCTTTTTTTTGCATTCACTAAAGCCCTGTGGGTTGACAGGAAGACGTCAGACCGTCTCGTTCTCATGGGTTTCATTGCTCTTGTTTTCTCTGGGTCATTTGAAAATATTGTAAAGTAAAACCTACCAAGATTTTTGAAAACATGTAAATCTATCTAGCTGTATATTGCTGTTACTTTTGTTTACAAGCACACAATGTTATTTTTTTCCTTGCCAGTATGTCTCATATTGGGGGGACGTGTGAAGAAAAAAAGCAGCACTAGTGAGTTTTTTTTTGTTTTTTTTTATACTTTACACTAGTTGATAACCAGAGATGATTTAACTTGTTTTCTCCCCCAATCGCAACAGGGTCTCTCTTTTGTGGGAGTAGTCATTTTCCACCTTCTCATCTTACTCATTTTTTCAGTTTTCGGATGTGAAAACGTTTTTGCACAGTCTTTTTGGTGAATGTTTACCTGTAATTGTGTTCCGTCTGGTTTGTTTGTGTGTTTGTGTGGAAGCATGCGCACGCTTGCACATGTCACTTCTTGTACATTTTGACCTATGTAAACCTGTACTGTATATTTCTTGTCTAAAAAAAAAAAAAAAAATCATGGTCACCTTCAAAAAACATGCTGTTGTTGCCTTGTCACACTATTTGTGACACAATAATGTAATTTATTTTGCTTTTATTTCTCTTTTTTACTTTTCCAGATTCACCTAATACGACATTTCCCTTTTCTCATCACATCTATCTTCTTGTGTTCACTTTGCAATGCCTTATTTAGCATTTTATATATGGATGTTTGTTACATCTTTATGTTGGGGAAATATATATCAAAGTACTTGTGTACAGTGTCAACGTTTTGGGAAGCAGACTCGGCCATACAGGTTAAAATGCAGAAGCTCTAGTTGTACAGATACTGGCCTCTGTGAAGTGCTTTTCAAGTCGTAACACTTTTCAAATAACATAACCAGGTCTAATTCCTTTCTCAACTCATTCAAAACAGTATTGCAAAGCACAAAGTCTATTTGACTTTCAAAAATGTCTCATTTTTAGTCTGAAAGCTTAGTTCTACTCTTTCTCTATTGTCCCTACACTACTGTCTCAGTAACAGCTGGTGAACAAAAACCCATAGACCTCGTCTAGACCTCTGGATGATTACGTTACCCCCGCCTTTTGACATTTTGATAAGTTCGTAACTCAATTAAAGGCCTTCAAAACTTTGAGAAGCACAGCCAATATATGTACAACTGGAGAGTTCAGACTGTTAGGCTGAGAATGCTGCATTGCTGGTTGTAAGTGTATTGGTTTTATTAATGTACCGTTTGTTGGAAATATATAGTTTGAAAACCCAACAATATTGTTGGAAACTCAAAAACACTCCTGTTTAATTCAATTTGAAACATGGTGTTTGAAAAGAAAGTCTCCCTGGTGCAGTATCTGGGCCCATTTGAAGATCAATGAATATCTATTCAATAACACTCCAAATAACCATTTTTGTCTGTCTCCCCCAACTGAAACGGTTTGTTAATTCATCCAAAAGTCTGATCAATTTCAAATTTGACCTGTATTTATTGTGTTTTACTGTCTCACGAAAGTTGTCTCCTTGTGTATTGCAACATGCACATAAACTTTGTCTCCAGGTTTTGGATGTTTTCCTATATTTGATTTCGACACGGATTCATTTTACTTTCCATAAAAGCTAAACTGTTCTGCAAATGGTAATGCTGACTGTATCCACGTGTAAAAATATGTCTCTGGATAATTGCTCCTGGATACTCTGAGAGCAAAAAGCCTTTCCCCTCAGCCCCCTACCTCCATTTTTCATGGATTAATCAAAGGGAGATTATTTTAGTAGCTTTGCATAGTGCATTTCTGATGGGGAATAAGAGAATTGGGAATTGTTGGGTACCATACGCCAGTGTCATTTGATCAGACTCTGTCTGTATTGAATATTTCCAATGCTTTTAAATATGCACGTAGTAGGAGACTGGATTTTGCTTGGCCACTGTCAGTGTTTGCATGCCAGGACCTGCTAATAAGACCCAGTCTTTACATTTGAAGCAGTTCCCATACTTAAGTGTATGCAAGGCAGGCTACTATGGAGTGTTTCTTATAACAGAGCTGCTTAGCCAGACAGAATAAAATCTGGGGTCAAGTCCTTAGTGTTCAAGGCACATTAGAGCATCGTGTACCATGTAGAAATGCGCTTTCATCTCTATTGAGCCTATATTGGAAGTTCTGTTCCTCAAGATCTTGTAAAATAATATTGAATGGATTTGATGCAACTAATAATGGTCAGTGTTCATGACAAGGAAGCACTGTAAGTTTGTGGTTACATTTGAACCAAGTGCACTATATTAGGATTATTACACAAGACAAAAAAGTGAACATACTCTTGGTATGAAATCTGCAGCAATGCTGAGAGTTGTGGGTGTTTTTATATTTTTTATTATTATTATTATTTGGGATATTTTATTTGTTTTGTTCAAATAGCTCCTGTACACAGATGTGGACCAATCATATAATTCAAACCATGGTATGTGATCTTTTATTGTGCAATAAAAGATGACTTTCAACTTTCAAGTCAATAAGTCTGATGTTAATCAGTTAGTTGTTGTATGCCAAACTTTTTTTTATATCCAAGCTTTTGTCTAGTTTAATATGTAGATTTGCTGATATTCATTGTGTAGCATATAATAATTAGACATAAAAAAATACTTAATTACAATTTTTTCTAATTATATTTATATAAAGTATAACTTGAGTAGTCACGGATAAACGTCACATAATACAAGATAAGTAACGTTACCATTTAAGATCAAATAAGCATAACGAGCAGTTGTTAAATTCACAAATAGTATTGCATAACATGACAATTCTCATTATTACATTTCTGTACGAAGTGGTAAATAATATTACCTAAGTATGGAACAAAAGTAAAACAGCATGTATTTATATCCTTAACATTTTGTATATTATATTAGTGAACACTGTGGGGTAGTTTAAATCCTCCATGCTACCTCGCTGTCGTCTTTGTTGTTGTAATGACGCCATCTCGTCCTGTTCTCCCATTGGCTGAGAGGAGCCCGTTTTCGCGCCATTCGTATGTCTCGGCATTGTGGGATAGCATCAGGAGGTCAGCGACGCTCCGGGTAAATTCCGTTTTACCCAAACACTTTCTTTGGATATTAACGGATTTTACGGATTACAGCGATGCGGGGAGATGAAACTGATTCGGAGTCGGTTAAATCGGACGATGGCCCGATACGGAGGAATCTCGAGGCGCTTTGTCAAGAGCTCAATATGGACGAGGAGACGGCAGCCGAAGCGCTCCAGAACTTCAGCTCCATCTGGAACACGTACACGCTAGAGGTTCCACTTTAATTCACATTACCACAACAACCAAACGACAGGAACAGCTGTCATCTCGCGCTCTGCCTTCAACTCACCCTTGTTTTCATGCAGATATATAGTCCAAATAACCATTACCAGCTAGTAAAGCTTCCTTTACAGACCCTAACTAGTCTAAGAGATTGCAACAAGTAACGTTAACGTTACGGGATTCACACTGGACTGGTGCTCTCCTTGGCGTACCATAAAATATCTATTATTTGCATGGCACTTCCAAGAATACTATAGTAAATATACTAAATACCTTAGTAGTACCATGGTATTTTGCTACATGAATTTCAAAGTGACAGTGTTATCATCTGATTCCATTGGTTTACCATGGTATCACCACAGTATTTTATATATTTTTTACCATATTATGCCATGGTAATTAAAGTACTTCAAATAATATCACGGTCAATATCCAAAAATATGTCAAAGTTATGATACCATTTTCAAAACAGAAAACAACAAATAAACAAACTTGAATTAATGTTGTGCGTCAAAAATGACAAGAGGCTTCTATATGTCACATGACATAAACAAAGAAAAGATGAGGAAGTCATGTCAAGGGAATTATGGGAAAGATAAAATTTTCAACACATTTTTTAATGTTAGATATAACTGTTAGATGATCAATGGATAGTAAACTTCTCTATACATGTTTATTAGTGATGTTCATTATTCAAGCTCAACCCTGTAAAGAAATAAAATATATTTTTAACTGAACAGTTTATTTAAACTTTAGACAAAATAAAACAATTATGCATTTTTTTTTTGTATCAGATTTTATACATTATACATCATCGATAGAATCAAGTTGCTTATAATGAAGTTGCTTTAGTCCAGAAAATGTTCATCTTGAAATATTACTAACAATATAAAAGTTGTTTTTATGTGTACTTATTAAAAATAATAAAGATTTCACAGCAGAAACACACGTGTACCATGACCTGAAGGGGGACATTTTAGCATTATACTAAAAGCCATTTTACTTGCAAAAAAAAAATAAGTATCAATTAAAGGGCAAGTCATGTAGTTTGGATCATGTTGGTAATTTAGAGGCCTTAAACATTCATGTATTAAATATGATACTGATACATTAGGTTTAATGGGGTTAATTCAGCTGTACGACATATATATCTCAATTTCTGTCATGTGTTTGGTTGTCTCAGGGTGATGTCGTGCACTGGCTGGCCTGTTCTCTGTATGTTGCCTGTAGGAAGAGCTCTATCCCTACAGTGGGACGGGGTGTGATGGAGGGCAACTGCGTTTCCCTTACGAGGATCCTGCGCTCAGCCAAGCTCAGGTAAGGACCTCAAACAGGGATGAACAGATGTCTGCGGGATGGACATCTTCTGGCGTAATTTCAGTTTATATAATGTAAAAGTTTTAAAGAATAAGAAGAGAAACAATATGATCAATGTCAAGAGCATTTATTTCATGCATTCAAATAAATGTAGGTGTGTATGTTAAGATGTGAGTGTTGTGTTATGTCTTCTAGTTTGATCCAGTTCTTCAGCAAGATGAAGAAATGGTCGGACATGTCGAACCTCTCTCAGGATTTCCGTAGCCGTATAGGTCGACTAGAGCGCAATTTCGAAGTGTCGACAGTGATTTTCCGAAAATTTGAGCCAATATTTCTGGACATGTTTCAGGATCCTCAGGGCGAACCTCCTCGCCTGCCTAGAAGCCGCAAACACCGGTAAAACGGCCTGCCTTTTATCGCCTTTCTCAGCTTTCTTTTGAAAAAGACAATGGTTACAAATATATTTCTTTCTGTGTAGGCGTCTTCCATGCCACATCAGTGACGTCTTCAAGTTCTGTTGGACTCTCTTTGTGTATACAAAAGGTAAGCTGACTGAAAGAAGCCTTCCCTGTTTGTACCATAGACCATCATTACACTTGAGATAAATAATGCTATAGGCTTTATGCCGAGCGTCACGTGACCAAGCCAGAAAACAGATCACTTCGCTTCCGATTCAGGTCTTTTGTATGTGCTTCATGAAATTTTTTGCGGTTTTACTCAAGATAACTTAAAAGGAGCAAGCAAAAATGAGCATAACCAATGTCCCTCGCATGTGCAGATTGATATTTAAAAGTTGTTTAATTTTTCTTCACACTAACGTTTAGATATTTAAATAGCATAAAACACCAATAACAAAGTGAACTGAGTAGGTTAGCTGATTACCTTAAAAATCCATAGATATCGTAGTTAGTTCTTACGGCCGTTAACACTTTCTCTGACAAGCGGATGCAATGAGACCCGTTTTCCGGTTTGGTCACGTGACGCTCGGCATAAAGCCTATTAACAACATAAAATAAATCAGTTCATTATTTCACAGTAATAATGAATGCATAATTTGTGTGGTTTTAGCATCAAATAAAACCCAATGCATGAAGTCTCTTCTGCTCTGCAAGGCTGCATTTAATTGATCAAAATTACAGAATATTGTAATACATTTTCAGCATCATTACTCCAGTCTTCAGTGTCACATGATCCTTCAGAAATCATTCTAATATGCTGATTTGATGCTCAAGAAACATTTCGGTAGCACTTTATTTTAAAATCCTGTTTCGCATGAACGTACTATGTACCTATTGTCTTAATGACACTAACTGGGTAATAACTAGGTACTAACCTTGAACCTACCCCTAAACCTTACTTACCTTTCACTACTCAGTACTTTTGTGGGTAAGTACATTGTGAGTGCACGTACTGTAAAGTAAACCAATTTCTTATTATTGTCAATGTAGAATACAGTTGTGATGCTTAATATTTTTATGTAGACTGATGTACTTGCTGAATAACAGCATTCATTTCTTAAAAAAAAAAAAACAATCTTACTGACCCCATTGTATTTGAATACTTTAAAAAATATATTTAAAAATACTACGTACATATTTTGACGGATTTGGTCAAAACTTTCTTGTTGACTTATCTGAACGCTATAGTAAAGTTAAAGCTGCAGTCCGTAGCTTTTTTTAAGTTAAAAATAATCCAAAATAATTATATTAAAAAAAACTTATTCTGCCAGTGGTCAAAACTATCTGCTTGCCATAGCTAGATTCAAAACGGTTAGCTTGTAATAATGATTTTAATTCCAGTGGTACTGGTGGGTTTCCGCGGGAAATTCAAGCATGTCTTTGTGTCATTACGTCACACGCTTTTCTCGCAGCACTTTACATAATTTAACTTATGGCATCCAGAAAGATCCAAACAACAATCATCAGTGTCAACTGGAGATTCAGCAGTTATAAAACCCAAAAGACTTCGTACTTCGGATTTAAGGTGGCTAGAGAAAGAGAAAGAAACCGTCTCATGCGAACACAAGGATTTAAACATCGGCGGGGCTTTTGAAAAGTGCGTGAACTCCGTGTTTTGAAGGGGTTCAAAACGGAAGAAGAGACGGCTTTTTTCTGCTGAACAAGTAAGACATTTCAATAGTTCAATCGTGTAACAGTACGTTTTCTTAATTCACACAGTTATGGAGTTTCCTTTGTTGTGCCTTTCTCGTTTTGCTATTATGGAGAATATGAATTCTGAACTACGCAGGTAGCTGCTAACCATAAAACACATTAAATTTAACATTAGTCACGCAATGCTGATGTGATGTTGTTAACATGAACAATTTGAGAACAAAGTAGGCTATAATTTGCACGGTTGCTGTAAATCGCGTTGATTAAATCTAACGAAGCTTATCATGTTGAATGCTTTTTCCCCCTTAGTTGGTCAGAACAAAAATGGATGTTACTTACTTGTTCAGAAGACATTTTCTTATGAAAATTCTTATGTTGGTCAAACTTTCAAAAAGTGAATCTGTGATTCTGTATGACAGTATCCACACAGCGCGGTGACTGACAGCAGCACTCGCCTCAAAGCACTGTGTTCATCCGCGCTGTTTCATGCCGATTTACAACCCACGTAAAGATAATAATTCCGCGAATCACTGCAGTTACAGATTTCGAACAGAGAGATGGCGACAGAGGAAAAGCTACGGACTGCAGCTTTAATGACATGATTTGTACTTTATTCCAGGTAATTTCCGCATGATTGGAGATGACCTGGTAAACTCCTATCACCTCCTGCTCTGCTGTCTGGACCTGGTGTTTTGCAACGCTCTCATGTGCTCCAACAGGAAAGATCTCATCAATCAACACTTCAGAGGTAAAGTTCCCTTCACCTTTGCTGTGAGAGAATTTGTTTTCATTGATTGATTGTTGATTTTCATTATCCTTGAAAAGGCAGACAGAGATACATGTGAGGCCATTGCTTGCATCAGAGGAGTTACTAGCCAAAGTAGTGCCTTAGTTTTGAGATATTTTTGATTATTTATAAAGTTAATGTGCTGTTGACTGTATAGGTGAAGTTTTAGTGCATTTAAAACAGTACAACTTATTATAACTCCTAATGAATTGTTCCAAGCTCTGTTTTCTCTCCTGTATTACGTGTTGAAGTAGGAAGTTGTGGCAAGCAACAGAACATATCAAGCGCTTGTCCCCAATAGCTTTTCGTTTATGTGACTAATAATGCACTTGACAGTTTCAGTCCACCTTATTTAGTCAACTTTGAGTACACTAGCATACATATGGCAAAATTTAGGACTAAACCATTAGCTAAAAACTTTATTTCAGGTGATTTTTAAAAGATTAATTTATTATCAGATTTTCAGGAGTTTGTGTTTCTATCATGCATAATTTGCATTGTATTGATTTCTAACTGGCATACTAGTGGTTTAAAAGCTTTTACAACAATCCTGAATCACCAATCATAGTACTGTATTGTTTTTATCAGATTCAATTACAGACTCTTGTAGGTTGTTTTGTATCTGTGACAAATAAACATGTAAATGCTTCGTTGAGAGTCTGTTGCTCACTTTGTGTAGGACTGCCAAAGGACACTGAAAACTTGGAGGAGATGCCCTGTGTCATTGACAAGTTGTGTGAACTGCATGATGGTTTGGTGGTGGAGGCCAAAGGCATAAAGGAGCACTACTTCAAACCCTACATAAAGACACTGTTTGAGAAAAAGGTGAGGAATATACACACTTTTACAACCAATCTACACTGCTAGAACAACACAATTGCTGGTTTACAGTAGGGCTGGTCCGAATACTTCGAATAGCTTCGAAGCTTCGGTAGTAATGAACATCGAATATTCGAAGCTTCGGAATCTCTATATATCTGTCTGTCCATTTGCATTTTGATTATTTCGAGAACCGTTCATCCAAACGACTTCACGGGGAGTGCAGTGTCGTATTTGGTGCAATATAGATATAGACAGGCGAGACGCGACACGTTCAGAATTAATAAACTTTTAATAAACTACAGAACAGTGCAAGCGGGAAGCGTGCGCGCCTCACGCGAGCAGAGCTTATATGCTCCGAGAACGGACACTGCTAGTGATATAAAACACACACAGGTCTGTTAACTTAAGCAATATTTTTAATAAGGTATTCTAATATCTTTCTCACTAACAAATTAATGCCCACGTAGCGTAGATTTAAATAAAGAAGCGGCGCGCCTCACGCGAGCAGGGCTTACATGCTCCGAGAACAGAAACTGCACGCACTATATAAAACACAAACAGGTCTGTTAACTTAAGCAATATTTTTAATAAGTCTTCTAATATTTGTCTCACTAACAAATTACTGAAAAAGTAGGGTAGATTTAAATAAAGAAGCGGCGCGCCTCACGCGATATGTTCCGAGAATGGACACTGCATATAAACACACACACACATGAGGTCTTTTAACTTAAGCAATATTTTTAATAAGGTATAGTCTTATAATATTCTCACTGACAAAGTCGGGTAGATTTAAATAAATAAAAACGAAATTTAAATAAATAAAAACGAAATTTAAATAAAGACAAATGAAAAATAAATGAACGAACTGTAATAGCCTAAATAAAGAACACGGTAGCAATAACAATTTCAATAACAACATCACAAATTTCTATTAATATTTTGCAGTAGATTAATTTAGATTGATAATAACAGGTAAAAAGGATAATACATTTTGTTTCTATTATTCTATTTTCCACAATGTCAAAGCAACGCAGCTTAACCCAAAACACAAGCTCAGGCATGCACTTCTGCCCATACAAACTCCGCTGTTCTGCGCTCTAGCCAGAGAATACTCCCGTTGCAGGAACACTTTTAGTAGTCCAAGAAGAAGCAAATATATTTATTAAGTAGCTATAACGAAGTTATATGTTAAGTATTATATTTCACCAGATTTTATAGTGTTAACTGTAAAACATATTCAAGCGCGAATGAGAACCGTTTCGAGGGGGTCGCCAGGTGTGCAAAAAACACACACAGGGTTTCCACGGGGTCTTAAAAAGTCTAAAAAAGTCTAAAATTTCAAATTCACAATTTAAGGCCTTAAAAAGTTTTAAATTTGCTGAAGTATTGTGTTCTAGGTCTTAAATAATTTTAAACAGGTCTTAATTTTCCTACGTCCTCCCGCAGCGCTTTGGAATGTTTTTTATTTTTTTTATTGCGTGGTGTTATAGTTCCTTATTTCGCTAGTCCAAATATAATTCACTTTAATTACGACTACAAAATAGACCACAATGCAACAGCCAATCAGCTTTGTGCATCCATCTAAGCTGTCTTCAGTACTGTTCAGTTTGAATAAATTAATTTACTTTGCAAGTAATTTTGAGACTCTGCGTTTCCTTTGTACGTTTTTTTTATGTCGTGATATAGGTCTTAAATTTAATTCATAATGGTCTTAAAAAGTCTTAAATTTGACTTTGTGAAACCTGCAGAAACCCTGACACACAAAAAACGAATATTCGAATGTCACATTTTCAAATCGAATACCAACCCACCGAACGAATATTCGAATATTTGGGTCCAGCCCTAGTTTACAGCTTGGTCATGCTTCCCACATTCTCAAATTATTCCTTTATTTTTCTCAGATATTAAAAGGTGATGCTGACACTCTGACTGAATTACTGGACACCCCACATTTCCAAGACAACAAGTAAGCATATCCCATGAAATTTATTTAAACACAAAATGCATATAAACACACATCAAATTGAATGCCTTTTTCCAGTATGCACCTGTATATGAATGTTTTTGTCTTTTCAGTAAAGCCATAAATCGTGAGTATGAGGAATATGTTTTGACTGTGGGGGATTTTGACGAGCGAGTGTTTTTGGGGGCCGATGCAGATGAGGAGATCGGCACACCTCGCAAATCCACCGCTGATCCTCCTTCAGGTCAACTATCCGCCCGCATGCAGGTGGAGAACAACCTTCAGCAGCACTTTGAAAAGGTACTGAAGCTTTCTGTTACCGTTGCTACATTAGAGTAACATTTAACATCCTGATCGTCAAACTTAGTGTACATATTTAGTATTTCATATAGAGGGATGTTTAATCTAAGTTTGGGGTCGGTGAGATTTTTAAAAAGGCTCTCACCAAGGCTGGCTTTATTTGATAAAAATACAGTTCTACAGTATATATTGTAGAATGTAATTTATTCCTGTGATGCAAAGCTGTTTTTTTAGCATCATTACCCCAGTCTTCGGTACCACATGATCCTTCAGAAATCATTCTAAAAAGCTGATTTGGTGCACATTAAGAAGCATTTCTTATTATTATCCATATTATATCCTTTAAAAAAACTTTTTGACCCCAAGCTTTTGAATGGTGGTGTATGTCCTTTGACCTATCCTGCTGTGTTTTTGTGTAGACACGATCCCTTGCTCCCTCTACACCTCTAACGGGTCGACGGTATTTGAAGGAGAAAGAGGTGCTGGTCACCCCCGTTTCCTCAGCCACTCAAAGTGTGAGCCGTCTGCAGAGCATGGTGTCCGGCCTACGAAACGCACCAAGTGATGCTCTGGTCCAAATATTTAAGCAAGTATCAAAGCCAAAACCAAACCATGCACAAATAGTTTGATTTTTGAAATTACACATCCATCTGGGCATGTATAAGCCATCATGATGACCCTCAGGCTTCAGTCTGTTTTCTTATAGAGATTTTGTGCTTTATTTTCACCATGATTTTATAGTTCTTGCTCTCGAAATCCCACTGAATCCATTCTGAACCGAGTGAAGACCATGGGAGAGATATTTAAACAGGCCTACACCAAACCCACAGATGACCTGCCAGGAGCACATATGGGTCAGACATGCTGCACATCTAAAAAAGTGAACTGTTATGAAAAGCCTCACATTTTATCATGTAACTGAGTGCAGGTTTTTGCGTGTTAGATTTTGCAGAGAATCGTCTGAAGCTGGCAGAGATCTTGTACTTCAAGATCCTGGAGAATATCATGACTCTGGAGATGAAGAGATTACAGGGCAAAGATATGGCGGTAAGTCTCCATGCCTGCTAAATAATATAAATATGCTAGTTAATATTAACTCTTCACTTCACTGTTTATATCACCAAACAGTAAGAGGAAAACAGATTTTTCCAAGTATTATTTCAATGTTCTATATCTACAGCTCTCACTGTCTGCTTTTGTGTGAGATTGTCACCTCTTCCTCTCTCTTCCTGATCTCTATCAGGTCCTGTTAGAGCAGGAGGTGCTCCATTGCTCTCTGTTGGCGTGCTGTCTGGAGGTGGTGCTGTTTGCGTACAGCTCTCAAAGAACCTTCCCATGGATACTGGAAATCTTACAGATCCCACCTTTCTACTTTTACAAGGTACTGAACGGTGTCAGCTAGGATCCTAGTTGATCCGTGGCCCCATGATTCGGCACGCATGTGATTCGCGTATTAATTGCAAAGTTCAACCATCATGGAGTAAAAGTTTATCATTTGCACATGTTTTGTCTTGCCAGTTTACACATTCAAGTAATTTAAAACCATTCCAGTGCAAGAATAGGCGAAAGAGAACTTAATTACTCAATACTCGTGCACTGTTATCTGTGCACACACAGTGAGGCCCGTTTCAGATAGCGCACGAACACCAAATTGATTTCTCTTTCGCATGTCCTTGCGCTTGAACAGACACATACACACAAAATTATGTCAAAATACTGTTAATTCTTCAGTGAACGTAAACAGCTGAGAAAGAAATCTGATGTGTATCATATTGGATCCGTGCATTAGGTCTTAAAGTGACAGCAGCCTATAAATACCTGCTGTCCGTGACTCAAAAACTATAATATGATCTGAACCATGAGTTTTGTGATCCGATGAACCACTAGTGTCAGCTCATATTATCTGCTTGCAGAGACATGCTTCAGGGTGTGGTTTTTATCCTTGTTAGAGTTTTTAGTGTACTATTGCATCACATTGCAGTGTAGATATGGATGTGTCTCAACAAACTTTTAAGTGCTTTTAAAGGAAACTGAAACGCAAAGTAAATTTTCATGATGTGTTTGTGTAGGTGATTGAGGTGTTCATCCGCTCTGAGGAGGGGTTGTCCCGAGACATGGTGAAGCATTTGAACAGTATCGAGGAGCAGGTGCTGGAAAGCAAAGCCTGGACTAGAGACTCGGCCCTGTGGAACGCGCTTAACAAATCTAACAATAAAATCCCTACTGTGGAAGAGGTATACACACACTTTGTTGGGAGAACAGATTGTATAAGCGTCATGGGGGTCATTTAAATAACAGATATTACCTATTTTGTGTACGTGTGTTTCTTAGGTAAATTTTTCCAATAGTTTTGACACGGGCAACAATGCAGGCGGTCCCACTCACCTGCCGTTGGTAGCGCTATCCCCCATCATCCACCCTCGCATCAGGGAGGTCCGCACAGGCCTGGGCTCCAGCGCACGCAAAGGTACTATACGTCTCAAAATGAGGCTGTCCTATATGATGCTTGGCTTTAAGACCCTATGAAGGTTTATAATTAAAGGGGAGGGATATTCTAGAGAGCATTAGATAGGACAAAAAAACTTGATTATGAACATATTATGTCCATTTACCATTTTAAAATGCATGTTATATTAATGTGTACTTTTTTGTATTTATTCTATATTTATTATTTTTAATTTATTAATTTAAATTGTTTTCCCCTAAGCATACACGACCTCAAAACTAACCGACTTAAAACCACAAAAAAGCTCGATTGGCTCTAATGCTTTCTTTGAATATTGAATCAGATGTACTCATTTGAATAATACTTTTGTCCTTTCTCTCTTAGACATCCCTCAATCTCCCCTCTCTCTCCACGATCGCTACAGCTCTCCAGCGGCTGGCAGCGCTAAGAGGCGCTTGTTTGGTGACGACGCTCCACCACAGTCCCCAGTGAAAAGAATCTCAGTCACTCCCATCAAAATCATCCCCAACTCCATGGAAAACAACCAGAACACCACCACCACAACGACTGTCCTCTCCATGGCAACCATAAACGGCCAGCAGCTCACTATTCCACTGCCGAGTACCACTCTTATTCTTTTTCAACCTCTTATAGCAAGCAAAACATTTCCCAAAAAGATGTTTGTTTGATTTTTGTTGTTGATGAGCTGGTGTTTCGTATCCTTTAGTGATGAAAAACGAGATGGGCGGCATCACAGTCATCCAACTTCAGGCCAATGAGATGAACCCTCTCACGGGCCATGTCTTACTGACCTCCTCCCCCAGCCGAACCGTAGCTCCACTCGCCAGCTCCGACACACAGCCTCTGGCAACCAGCAAACCCCGCCGCACTGGATCCCTCGCGCTATTCTTCAGGAAGGTGAGGAAGAGTGTTCTTTGCTGACTTCTGACTTGTGTTTTTTGGACATCTGGTATTGAATGAAGATCTTTGTTAGCTGAAGTTTATAATTCTGTTGCTCGTTCTTTCAGGTGTATCATTTAGCCAGCGTGCGTCTGCGAGACCTGTGTCTGAAGCTGGATATCTCCTCAGAGCTGCGAGGGAAGATCTGGACGTGTTTCGAGCATTCTCTGCTGCACTGCACTGACCTGATGAAGGACAGACACCTGGACCAGCTGCTGCTCTGTGCCATCTACATTATATCCAAGGTACATCTTTTAGATGCAGAACTAGAAATGTCTTTTATGCCGACCATGGGTGCAATTACTTGATCAAAAATACAGTATAAACTGTAATGTTGTGAAATATTATTACAATTTTAATTTTACAAGTTTAAAATAACGGCTTTCTATTTTAATATATTTGAAAATGTAATTTATTCCTGTGATGCAAAGCTGAATTTTCAGCAACATTACTCCAGTCTTCAGTGTCACATGATCCTTCAGAAATCATTCTAATATGCTGATTTGCTGCTCAAGAAACATTTATCATTATCAATGTTGAAAACAGTTGTGCAGTTTTTGTGGAAACTGATCTTTTTTTTTTTTTCAGGATTTTTTTATGAATGGAAACTTCAAAAGAACAACATTCATTTGAAATATAAATATTTTGTAACTGTAACATTTTATCAGATAAATGCATCTTTTCTGAATAAATGTTTTAAGTTCTTTAAAAAAGTATTTAAAAAATCTTGACCCCAAACTTTTGAACATATATATATATATATATATATATATATTACTGAAGAATTCTCTAATCATCAGATGGAAATATAATATAATTTATTTTCATTTTAAATTTTCTTTTTTTATTCACTTCCTTCTTCTGCAGATAACAAAAGAAGAGCACACTTTTCAGGACATTATGAAATGCTACCGAACCCAACCTCAGGCCCACAGTCACGTGAGTATCAACAGTCTTGGTCTTTCCAAACCTGCGATGTGGAATTGCACATAAATATTATTGATCAAGGGACAAGATGGCTGCGTGCCCCAGCTTCCTAATGTCAAAAAGCTTGGACTTTGAGCTGTGATGAGGGCACATATGAGGCATCCACAACATCCTGTTTGTAGGTGTACCGCAGTGTTTTACTGAAGAGGCGTCCCAGAGAGCAGCAGGCAGATGAGAACATGGAAGTGGATCCACCAGCAGACCAGTGTAAGAATGATGTAGACAAAGTCCCAGATGTCTCTTTGGCTTTTTAAAGCACAATATTACACTAATGTTCAAAAGTAGTGTAAGAAATGAATACATTTATTCAGCAAAGACATTAAATTGTTTAAAAGTGACTGTAAATACATTTATAATGTTACCGAATATTTCCATTTCAAATAAATGTTTTTTTTTTATTATTCATCAAAGAATCCTGAAAAAATTTTATCATGTTTTTGATAATAAACATTAGTAATAATCAGAAATGTTTTTTGAGCATCAAATCAGCATATTAGAATGATTTCTGAAGAATCATGTGACACTGAAGACTGGAGTAATGCTGAAAATTCAGCTTTGATCACAGGAATAAATTACATTTAAAAATGTATTAAATACAAAACCTGTATTTTAAATTGTAATATTTCACATTCTCACAGTTTTTACTATATATTAATCAAATAAATGCCTTCTTTCAAAAACAAAAAAATGTTTCTGACCCCAAACCTTTGAATGGTTGTGTATATATAATGTTTTTATTTATGTTTATGTTAGCAGCCAATGAGAGGATGGAACAGGCTGACAGCGAATCAGAGGATAGAGGAGACCTCATCCAGTTCTATAACTCTGTTTATGTGTTAAAGATGAAATCATTCGCTCTCAAATATGCACATTCCACGCTTGATAACAAGGTTGGTGAATTGTTTTGCTTCATTTGAAAATCATGTCTTAAAATAATATTTTAGACAGTTTGGAAACAAGCATTTCACTCTTTCTCTCTATAAAGATGGAGGCTCCTCCATTATCTCCATTCCCATCGGTTCGGGCTCAGCCTCTCTCTCCTCGCCGTGTGTCTCAGAGACACTCCATCTTTGTCTCTCCTCATAAAAACGGCTCGAGTCTCACCCCCAGTGCCTACACGTACAAGTTCACTGGCAGCCCATCAAAGGTTAGTCACAACGCACATCAACAGCAATAATTCCCTTAAAGGGATATTTCATGAACAAATTCCAAACCTGTATGCCTTTCTTTCTTCTGTCGATCACAAGGAAGATAATTCGAGAAATGTCCGTAGAATGAAATACAATGCAACTGGGTACTATTATTATAGTCTCTATAACTGATTATTTCAGTTGAAAATCAGTTCATTTAGTTTCATCACTATTCTTTTTTTTTATTTGTAAACTCCTAATGACCTCCATAATATAGATATAGATAGATTGAGGTTTTTCAGTTATGGCTGTGGTTAAAGCCTCTACTTTCTCTTTCTCTTCAGGAGCTGAGTGACATAAACCAGATGATCCGTCAGGGTGGGGTGAGCAAGAAGCGGGCGTTCACTATGGATGGCGACGAGACCGAGTCTCCATCTAAATGCCTCCGGCAGGAGAACGACGACGTGCTGCTCAAACGCCTGCAGGATGTGGTCAGTGAGAGAGCGAGTCTCTGACCTGTGGGACGCCCAGTCTCATTACAGACCCAAAAAAAGCCAAAAACTCTTCCTATGTGCTGCTCAACGACTCCAGGATGTAGAGAGAGATGCGACAACAATCAGTCTCTTATCAGTTTAGAATCGAGCGCATTAATTATGTCACAGAACAACAACACAGCTCATGTGTCTTGACTGATTTTTGATCAACCCCATGTGGGGTTTACTACACCATGTTTTCTGAAGATCAGGGAGATCAGTACAAACTTAAATGATTTGTATTGAATCTAAGAAACATTTATCACGTTTTTTCACGATTCGCATCATCCTTTCATTATGAATTGTTTCTTTATTACAGAGATATTCTGTAGCTGTTGCTTTCTCAATCAAGTCATGTGACCATCGTTTTTTGCAGTTGATGAGTCGGTCTCAAGTATGTAAAGAATCTCCCAGTCGTTTATATCCCCTCACGTTCTGTAGCAATATGAAAGGAAAATTGTATCACATTGGAATAATTTGATTATATTAGCGATTTATTTTTTTTAAATTCAAATTATATACTGGCACAATGTACAGGGCAATTTAACCCCGCTTTTGTGTGAGCGTGAATTTCAGTGTGTGTGTGGTGAACCAACACAAAGGTCATTTTAAAGTTTTGCAACCATCCTGCAAATGCTCTGTGCGGCTCTATATTCAGATGTGTGGTATCTACACCTCTCCATTAATTATGTATTATGCCTTTTAAGGTTCATTTATTTTCTCTTATCAGAACAGTTTTTTGGTTTTCTGAAATGGTCATGTTTACAGTTCATTTTAACATTTAGATGTTAAATTTGTTGATGTGTGTTGTGTAAAATAACTTGCTTAACACTTGGGTTTTTTTAACAGTTGCTGTTATAATTGTGTTATTTGTTTCTGCTCATGTTTTTCAGTCAAGTAACTTTTATTGGTCACATGCCAAAAATGAGTAGTGAAATGCTTTTTCCCCCCTTCAAATCATGTGACCAGTCTAGTGCTATAGCAAGCTGTATCTGTATTTCTCAGTATTGACGGTTAATTTGGTATTGAAATTTTAATTCTTGTACAAACCTTGTTTATTTTATCCATTTATGTTCTTTTGTCTTCATCTAACTCGGTGTCCAACACTGTTGATCTCTTTGCAGTTGGTGCTTTGTATTGTAGCTTTGGAATATCCTCTGAAATATTTGCTTATACACCCTCCATATTTTAAGTTTAGAAATAATTCTTCACACCGTTTCCCCCCCAAAAAACCTTCTTTTTTTTTTTTTTCAGTGACTGTCTGTAATTTATCTTTATTGTATTTGTTGGTTTGACCAATCAGCTGTTGGTCTGTTCTACAGTCAGTGCCTTAGCATGTACATAAACAATAAAACATGTTTTATCAATTCTCAAATTTGTTTTTCTATATTTATAGGAATTGACGCTGTGCTTGCTTCAGAAGATCTCACGTGGCAGTTTTCAGGCTCATTTCTGCAGGTTTGAGCCAGTGATGTAGGATATATTTCTGATCTAACCATAAACCCAGATTAGATGATATTTTAATTTACCTGCAATACAGTAAACTTTGGCATCTGCAAAATGAATTAGGCTCTAAGGGTTCACGTTCATCTGAGCAACATTGTCGGAAAATAAATGTAGATTTACCTGTATTTCTGGATAATGTCCCTGATATCCTTTAACTTTATTGTTGACCACTCTTGGCACCCTTATTGAATGGTTTGGCTCTTCTTAATAGGCTTTATGCACAGCTTCACTACTTCCTGAACTTTAGCCAGCTCCTTTGTTTATTGTCTGCCATTATTGGACAAACTGATTAATCCAGGTGTGTCTGATTATTGTTACTGAGGCCAGGCACACCTGGATTAATCAGTTTGTCCAATAATGGCAGACAGGAAACAAAGGAGCTGGCTAAAGTTCAGGAAGTAGTGCAGCTGTGCATAAAGCCAATTTGGTTACTGAACTACAGTAGTGTCCAAAAGTCATGTCCAGAGGGGATATTTGAATTTAATGACCCTACAAGTTCAATGAAACCAAAATATGAGGATTTTTTTTATATATTGGGGAAGAACAAAACACTAAATATGGTTAAGATATTTATCTGGCAAAAAAAAAAAAATCTATGCAAAAAATTAAAATAAAAACCTCACAGGAAAAAGCACACACTGACTACAACATAATCAGCTGTTAAAATTGCATTGTTTTTGCATGTTCATAATTTCTCTGTATGACAGCCTGGACAAAAATTATTTTGCACCATTTGGCACGTTTCATTGCTTTATCACAAATAAAACAATTGACTGCACGCACAACAACGGCATATGCTTACAAAATCTTTAACAAATTTATAATAATATAAAGGTCAAATATCTCAATTTTTCTAGGCCTGGCTGACATCACTTTGGGCCACTACTGTATGTCCAATAAGTTGTAATTCAAAATAAATGTTTCACTGTATCTTCTTACTACACAAAAGTGCACTATGTACCATTCATTATATATAATATAATAATAATTAAAAATTAAATAATAATAATAATAAAACGATTTGTGATTGTATTTCATATTCTTGCCGCTAGAGGGCTGCCGCGGCCCGTCAGTCTGAGCCAATCAGAAAGTTCAGAACGAGTGACGTATATACGTCATCTACTCGCAGGCCTACGTGATGCGCGAGTACTGTGTAGAATCAACTGATGTTTTGAGTCAATGAACCCCCTAACGTTACGTGATTCCCCAAGGTTTCCACGCCGCGAAATGTATGAAGAAATGTCAGTAGAGAGAAACTGGACGGACACCGAGACGAGGGCGCTGCTGTACATCCGACAGGACGAAGAAATCAGCAGGCAAATCAGCGGGACCGTTCGCGATTCTCTAATTTACGCCGAAATATCGAGGCTCCTTCGGGCGCAGGGCATCCACAGAACCAAGCGACAGGTCACCACCAAACTGAAAACACTCAAGCAGAAGTTCCTGAAAATTCACGAGCATCACAAAAACACCGGGCACGGCAGAGTGTACTGGAATTATTATGATCTATGCAAGTCCATATGGGGCAGCAACCGCCCTACGAACACTTTAACACTTAATGATAATGTGAAACCCGAAGAGCCCCAGAGTACATCCATCGAGGACGCGCGGAATGAGAGCAGAAGCACATCCACTGACATCGACGTGTCCGTCAGTCATGACGCGGAGACGGAGGACATGATGACAGGAGGTGCGTTGATGGCGCACACTGCATGTTAAATACAACGCAGTCTAGACAGTGTGCTAGATAATGCGCACTATACACTGCATTTCGCTTACTACTACACAAACTGTGAAACAGAGCTGTGCAATGATAAACTATGCAAACAGTGTGCAATTATATAAACATGACAGACACTGTATATAAAGGACTGTGCAATAGTCTTATTGGCACGTAGTATTTTCACCAAAAAATAAAAAGGTTTTAAGCTAGCTAGTTATTTATATATTTTGCAGTAGTGTGTCAGTGGGAAATTAGTTTACATTTCCAAACATTCCTTTCGCCATTAATTGTAATTATCCAATTATATTTTTGTACGCACAAGGAGTCTGACAGCAAAAGATAGGCCTATAGCCTAAATAGCTGGCGTAAAACCATTATTAATATTTTTGGGTGAAAATACTAATGTGCCTAAGACTTTTGCACAGTACTGTACATTGCTGTAAAATGACCTTACTTTGAAGTTAATTTAGCTATTTTATGTGCAATACGGTTTATTTACATTTTTAATTGCCCAAACAAATAATAAGTGAAGGGGAGGCTGTGTTTTGCGTACAATACTAGCTTTATACTTCCTAATGCATAGCATAGCGTACACTTGGTAATGTGCACAAAGTTGTTCAAAATAGTTTGTATGCATGCATGCAGTATGCTATCTTGTTGTCATTAGGGTTGCAAAATTCTGGGAATTTTCAAAGATGGCAACTTTCCATGGGAATTAATTGGAATTTAAGAGAATAAACAGGAATTTATGGGAAAAAACGGGAATAAAGTGGGAATTTTCAAAGTTGAGGGTTCATAGGGAACTTAAATATAGTTGAGGAAAGTATATTTTAGCATAATCTTGACTAAAACAAACAGATGCCATTCAAATACACTTGAATATCCATGCCATTCCTCAATCACATGCACATAGAACACTGCTTACTGCATGGCTATTGAGACCACACCCCCTACTGGCACTGTGCATGCCTCCATCACATGTACAGAAGCCCAGCACAAGACTATTGAAGGCACACATTTGAGCCTGTGGACTAAACAAAGTGAAGTAAGTTTTGATGATATTATGGGGAAATATATTTATTAAATGTTTAAATTGCAAATATCACATACAAATGTATTAATCTAGTAGCAATGCTGATAAGTTAGATGCTAAATAAGCTAGCATAACTTTATTTACCACATAAGGCAGATGCTAGCTACCTCATGTGGCTGTTTTTCTCTGCCTCCTGCAATATGTTTTCAAGATCATTCCAGTTGTTTAGCTAGCCTTACTATTTATGTATCTGTTCATGCCATTGCATTAGTATTCTTACTAGGGTTGGGCCTAGTTGATGCCTGACAGACATCACGATGTTTAGCCGAGTGCCGACATCGCGATGCCCCCACCCCCATGGTTTCCATGGTGACGCGTCATGGCACGTGATTCACCACAGCCAAAATAGCGCTGTATGACAGATTTAGCGCTTTTATTTCTAAATGTTAACAAACTTGCTTACCATGTCATAAACTATCTTCTATTCTGATTCTCAAATATGTGTAAGTGAGTTTGTTTGGTAGTTTAAAAAACCTTTATAAGTTATCTTGATCTGTAACGTGAATGGGACGTTTTGGAGGGAGACGTTTTTTTTTTTTTTTCATTTAACATTTTGAATGGGACTTTGTGGGGATTTTTGGATGGTGGGTACATTTTTGATTGAGTGGGGTTGGGGGATGAGTAATATTTAACCCAATATTCCTGTTTTTGTTCTTCCATTAAACAAATGATTGTTCAGTAAAATAATTAAAACAGAATCTCAGATAATAAATAGGGTTGCAGAATTTGGGAATTTTCAAAGTTGGAAACTTTCTATGGGAATAAACTGGACATTTGAAAAATTGCAGGTTAGTAGTCTATAACAGGGAACTTTG